GGAAGTGGTCACAGCACCAAACCTGACAGAGTTCAAGGACCATTTGGAGAACACTCTCAGGCACATGGTATAACTCTTGGGATTGTCCTGTGCAGTGTTAAGAGTTGGACTTGATGATCCTAGTGGGTACCTTCCAACTCAGGATATTCTAACTCCATGGACAAACCATAGAAGAGCAAAATTTAACATGAAGTTTAAGTTTAGACATCTGAAATACAGATTAACTAATACAAAGCAGACTTTACCACAATTGTCTTCTTTTTCCCTTTGTGAAGAAAAGTTCTCAGGTCCAGTCCACAATGTATGCTATCTCAGTGTCTTTCTATTATGTAAAGACAGCAGCTGCTAGAAGGAAGCCTAGGAAGCCCAACTCTTGGAAGACTAAATTGTTAGTAGTAGTGAAAGTAATGTAACAGAGAAGGAGAATGAACAGGCCTACTTATTTTACAAATAGCATTAATGCAAACTGAAATACCTGACAATCGTCTTTAACCTGTAATTTATTGCAATAAGAAAACACATTACCTCTTTTGACTAAGAATAGGGCAGATGACAATACTTATCCATTCTTACCTACTTTATAAATTATTTAGGTGTTTAGAACACAGAAATACAGAAACTAAAAACAAAAAAAAAACAAACAAACAAAAAAAAACCAAACCAGAACAATAAAAAAAAACCCTCTCACATTTCATTAATTAATTACAAATTTTAGTTTCTAACCTATTCAGAGGGGAGCTTGCTTCTCTTTAACATGCTAAACTTCATTAACAAAAATTCTCTGTTAAGTTAGATGCTAATGGTAATCAGCTATACAGCTTTCTTTAAAGAACAGCCTTATATTTAACCAGGCAATGCACAGAAATGCAAGTTTCTTGGCAAAGTGATAAGTTTTCAGAATCAACAGTATCCCTCAGTGCATCCAAGTCCTAACAATCTTTCCAACTGAGGATATCAGATTTAAAAAAAAAAAAAAATCTTCTTTCTGTTTTTAGTTTTTCCTACAGTCTTAGAGTGTTCTTGCAGTCTTTGCTCTTCTACTTGAGAAACATGAAAATCACTCGGTCTTCCTCATATAAGTGAAGGCTTTTAGCCTTTCCATAGGTTAGAATTTTCAGAAATAGTTAACTATAAAACTAACTTACAAAGTGTGTGTGTAATGGTATTAATAAAGGAAATTGTATATATATTTGAAATGGTTTTTCAGGAAAAATATGTGGCCATAAATGTATGAAGAGGAAAAGTAATGAAAAGCAGAAAATTGTGTACCACCTTCACCTGAAATCCACCCAAGAACTGAGAGCCTGCTCAGGGAAAACATCCACTTCTGACAAACGTAGAAATCCCAATCGTGATCTGAATCTAATGAATTCAGATATGCCTGTTTAGCGAAGCACACTACATTTTCTGAAGAGAGAGTATGTATATAATGATTTGAATGACATAGCTTTTGAAAATAAACACTCCAAATCTTCCCATCAGAAAACATTTTTCTATAACTGTTATCGAAGGACTTGGTTGAGATTTTTTTCTCACTTATGCTGTCATAAATAAATGGCAGCTTCACTAAACTCAGCAAATTAAACAAACCCAATATTTAGGGCACCGTTTTCTAAAACATGTATTGAAGACTATTTTGAAGCATATCAGTAGCAAGTTACATGATTTAACATATATTGCACTTGAGCGATTAACAATTTGTAGGACTTGATCCATAAATAGAACCTTAAAAATATATTATTTTTATTACAGGTACTAACATATCTAAAAGGAAGTAAATACAGACACAGCGTCTGTCAAAAGGAAATAAAAAATACCTCTACCGGATTAAGACCAGCTTGTATGAGGAATAAAAATTATGTCTGTTACTGATACCTGTTTAGCATTCGTGTAAAAGTTTCTCTTCAAAGACTGAGGAATCAGAACTACTGATTCACCTCATCTTAAAAAAAAAAAAAAAGGGGTATAAAAGAGTTGCTAGTTCCAACTGACCTTGAATGTAATTGGCTCCTTTGGATGTCTCTGTGGTATATGCCATTAAGAAGATAAAAATATACAGGATTAAAATCTGAACTGATAAAGCTAAGAAATTAAGTATTACTCCTTTAATAAGCCTATTTTATGAAAGTACATGAATACCAAAATATCTCCTTACTGATTGCTGGTAAGTGTGAACAAGTTTAAAAATAAGCTATCAAAACTTAAAGTAGCTAATATTTTAATTTTCCCTTTCTTACCTGTTAAGAATTATGAATAAAGAATTCAAAGCAAATTATTCTTACTCTACTCCACCTGAACTCACTTGTATACCACCACATTCACCAAATTTTTATATACACTTAGTCTAGACTGATAGATTATTTTGTATTTTAAGACAAAGATAGAGGCATATTTTTTCTATTTTACTTTTTTTCAGTGCAACAGTTCTTTTTTTTCATACTTCTGTATTATTTAAGAGCTTGAAAACCTATACAATTGTAAGAGCACTGTCTTACAAGGTCAAGGTTGATTATTACAAAGATATGATTGTTTCATTGTACTGCAAACTGAGAAAAAATGCTCATACAAAAAAACCAAACATCTTAAGTCACAAAACCCAAGTAACTAGGAGAAAAGGGTGTGTCAGTTAAAATGCCAAGGCAAAGATAGAGACCATTACTGCCTGTCATGAATAAAGACATGATTAAAGTTGGATTGTGGTATACTGTGGGAGAGAAAATAAAGACTTTTTTTTTTTAAATTTTAAAAACCGAAACTTATAGAGCTCAAAATATAAAAATAGTTCTTTTACCCCCAGGTATCAAAGTAGTTTATGTTAGACTGCTATCTGAATTTCAAAAGTATTTATTCAGCAAAGATTTGAAACTGTAAAAAGCAACGATAAAAACTGAAGGTGAGATCACGATTTAGGATGTATACATTACAAAATCATATACGCACGGTTAAAAGAATAGTCAAGAACCACTAGATTATGAACCTGTGTTGCCATGCTACCACGAGTGATATTGTCTCCCTTCTTGTTACAGTCACAGATACAGGCTGCTACAACCACAATGCAATTTTGTGCTAACTATTGAAGTAAACATCATGAAGAAATTAAGAGCTCTCTTAACCGAGGGACAGTACTCAAGTTTACAACTCGAATTTGGTTTAGAATTCCTCCATGGAAAGGATGAAGAATTATAAAGTAATGAACCAAATCGGTGTACTTGTAAGTTGTAAATTTCAAATTTAAGGTTTATTTTGTCAAGTGTCATAGCCTCCATCCTATCACAACAGTTATTTTATTCCATTGCATTGCATTGTATCTTTAAAGATACAATGATCCAGAAATAATCAAGCATTTTATACTAAACCAAGTTATTCCAGCAGCAAACAACTGCTAGAGGATTGCAGAATTAGGATGTATTTTAGGATCACGACTGTTTCAAAAAAGTTTATAACTAGCCTTTAACTAATAAGAAACAGAATCTGCAAAATCTAATTCACTATCCAATAATCTATATAACACAGTTGTTTAAAACTTCATACTATATTTTAATTGCCTATAATTGACTTCTTTTTCATTTACTCTGAACAAATGAAAAGATGTGTTTTACATGAAGTAAAACATGGTGAAATACCACGTATTAATGTATAAAGTAGACTGCAATAAAGATTTCAAATAGTATCTGTCTTCTATTCCTTCCTTTCTGTACGATACTAGTATTTACTTAAAAAATCTTGCATCAGTGTTTGATTTCTTTGAGAAATACAAGACTAATGGTTTATATATACTGCAGCTGTATCAGAAACAAATAGCAACAGTATCAAAAAGCAACGTGATGTAAAACATTAAACAACTTTATTCTTCCATTGAAATGAAACACCTAAAGTTAGACAATTATGAGAGAGAAAAAAAGCCACAAAACCCAACTGGTAAATAGGAAATGTCACTGTCTTTCATGAGGTAAGGCATTTTTAATAAATACTACTACTAATGAAAACCCTCCTTAGTAAATTTAACATCCTTCAGCATCTTCCACTGTGTATTACTTCAAATCTCAACTCTGCTGCAAGTCACCCTCCTTTACACCCATTTTCATTGCTATATTCTCAACAATGGTTTATGAGATTTCTGCTAGTGTCATAGCTTGAATTTTTTTTTCTCCTGCTTCTTGACATTTCTTATTACTTCCTCCCTAAATCTTCCTCAGAATCACACGTTCTTCTATTTCTCAAAATATGGATGAAGAAGTGTTATTTGCTCAGGTGTCAAGTCACAGAAGAATACTGGGGAATGGAAAGACAGTAGTAAGGATGAAGAGCAGACGCAAGCAGCAAAGCTTGCTCTAAATAAAAAATAAATAAAGCTGCAGAGCTTAGGTCACCAGATATTGGCTTGATATCACAAAGTTTCTTCTCTTCTCATGTTTCATGTCCAGCTGGTTTCAAACCTCTAATACTCTCTCTGTTCCTTCATTTGCTATCAGAGATTCTGATAACAACATCTTTTCCCTCATTATTCATTATGTCTGCAGAAAATTCTAAATCCTGATGAAAAATGATTTCTCTTTATTGTCACCTAGCATATTCCAAACTGACAAATGCATTCTCTACTCTGAGATTACATTGAGGAAACAGCTAATTCAGGTTTTAAAATACTATTATGATCTCTATCAAAAATCAAGGTAACCCTGTATTTCTTCATTAATTTTTCCGATGAATTGCAAACACCTCATGATGGCTAGAACTGCTGTCTCTTATGTCTCCTGTAAATTTCAGACACCTCAAAGACTACATATATTGGTGTACACCACCCAGTTCCAAAAGCAGAAAAGTGATATTATACCTTTAAGTATCATTTTGAAAGTATTTTCTGAGTACCCTGAAATTCCAATGGACTAAGTAGTATGTGTGCATTTACTCCTTTAATTTTATTTCCACAAGAATTGCAACATTTGGCTTATTTACCAAAAGGTAAATTTCAGGTGTCTAATTCAGATGAATATTCATCTTACCTTTACAGATTCACTTAATACTTGGGTTTTATCTGCTTCTTCACTGGAGTGCAATTCTAGTTTATTATTTAACTCCTGTAGCTGTTGTGCCTGTTCACTCAAAAGCAATTGTGCCTGATGCTCCCGATGCAATGCATTATTTAATTCTTCACATACACTTTCAAACTTCTCATGGGTGATCAATTTCTGTCAAGAGAAATAAATTGTGTTTGATTGTGTAACTATGTTCACTTGTTTACATACTTGACTTTCCAAGTTCCACTTGCAAACATATCAAATTCTAAAACAAAAGCATGCTAAAGATTATTATTATTTAGGTTAGGTTTTTTAACTCAAAGACAGACTATGGGGCAATAAGAGGGCAGACAACTATAGTCACTGTATTTTTTCAAAATAGCATTCAGGCTACTGTAAACAGTATGCATTCATGATTCCATTCAAATTAGCACTGTAGGTTGTAAAGAAACAATATTTCAAAGGAAATATGCAGATCAATGTCCCACATTTTAGTGCATATTTTGTTAACCCTTGTAAATATCTTCCTGGACTCTTTCTTCCCTTCCAGAAATGTTCCAGAAAGATGAAATAATTCTCTAAAGAAAATTGTTGTCCACACTTAAATGAAAACCTAAACTGTGACAATTTTCTCTAATTGTGCCAGAACCGTAAGAAATAAAACCCATTACGAGCAAAACTGAAGATGACTGGATATAACCTTGTTTGTTTGAAAAAAACCCAACATTTTACCAGCTAGGAGCAAGAAAGAGAATGGATGTGACATGAATTGTTAAATATTCTCTGCTTGGAAGTGTTTGATTGGGATACACTGACAGTTCTACCAACTAGACTTCAGTATCAATGGTGGGCACAGCTACAGAAAATGCTGACTATTCTGGGATACAACTCTTTCAGTTATACTCTGCACCTGTAAAGCATGTATAAGAATCCTTATCCATTCACCTTCTCAAATAGCTCCAATGGGAGTTCAGTTTTGAACATAATCTATAGGAAATACACTTAGTAGGAAAGGTGCTTCATGAACCTCCAGCATGCTAAAGCAAGACAAGTTTCTTTCTCTCCATGGATTGAAGGCACAGTTCCAAAAGTATGACAGGGATCAAACTGACAACCCAATGGCATCAGTCCCTCCACCAAATGGCATCAGTCCCTCAATCACCACATCCATTTCTCACTACACTGTGATTTCAAGCAGTTAAGGAACCTTTTTGTTGTGTCTTCTCACTCCTGTCATCAGTGCTATTTAGAGGTTAGTGAATCCATAAGTAAAGTCATCAGTGATAGCGAAGAGTCAGAGGAATTTGGCACACTAAAATTTGTATTGACTAGCTTAGGATATAAACCAGAGTCAAAGATACAGCAAAATGTCTATCATAACATTCAGCAACATCCATGCAAAGTTTATAAACTGCTCATGGACGTACTTATTGAACACCCTCATTCCAGCTGACTTTACTCTGTTGAAGTGAAATCTAAAAATCCTTTTCAGGTATATAAATCCCATCAACATTTCAAACATACGGAAGAAAACCTGAGTTGCTGAAAACCAAACATGCAATTTACACAGAATAATTCATTGTACAAATCAAAAAGAAAATCTTGTGGAGGGCAGATATTTCTGAATACATCTGACTTCCAGTTCAGTGACATTTATTAGGAAAGTTTTCTGGAAAATTCTTTTACTAGGAGAATGATTTTATATTTGTTTTTCAAAAGAACACATACTCTCCCCCCAAAAAAGTGTAAAAAGAAGGATTTCTTACAAGCAGTCTCCTCTAAATCAAATATACCTACTTGTTTAAGCATATTTAATTGCTCTTGCAGGCCCTGGGCTTTGTCAGCTTCTTTCTTCATCTCACTGAAATCCCATTTGAATTCTGCAAGTTGTAGACGCAGTGAGCGGCGTTCCACCTCTGCTGTATGAAGTCTTTGAGTAAATTCAAATATTTGCTCCTGCAGGGATTCTATGTTTTTCTGTGAGTAGTCAGAAACAAATTAATGTACCATGTACCATGTATTTTAGCAATAAGATAAATCACATATAATACCCAAGCAAAGTAGACAAAGCTCTCATCTGGTCCTCCATCTCTAAAAGACACACCTGAGTGCAAAAATGTGAATCTGTATCACCTACTCTTGGAGGTTACTGAAAATTCTGTTTTCAAGGAAGTATCATTTTCATAAACAGCCCACAATAAAAGACTGATTATTTGAGAAAGTTTATCCTTTCATTTTGGTTAAAAGGAAGAAGGTTATCTTCACTGAAAGACAGAACACCAAGCAGGAGAAAACAGAAAAGAAAAAAAAAAGAACCTTAACATTCACTGAAAGCCACAAGCAAGTTTGTTCTTATAAAGCAAATATAGTTTTGAAAGAACTTTAAAAAAAAATTTCTTGTATACATCAAATCTTTTTTTAAAATTCTTTGACAATAAAATAAAAGAACTATCCATGCCCTAATGCTTCTAGCTGTTACAAATCAGCTTCTAATGTCTACATAGTTGACTTCAATGTAACAGACTCATAAACAATCTGAAACAAAATTAATGGTACTATCAAGGGAGCTTCACCATAAGACTTTTTATGAATCTATTGCTTACATGAAGTAGCACAATAAATATGCATACCATACTGGATAGTCTGTCCCACAATCCAGCTTCCAGGGCCCGGGTATTTATTTTGTGAAGTCCATGAGCCAGACTGTGTACCAAAGAGTCTTTCTCCAGATAAATAACGCACTTGCTGTGGTCTAATGGAACCGTCTCCATTATTACATTCAGCTTGTCCATAAGCTTTGAAAAGGAGTTCCTGGCTGCACTTACAAGTAACTTTCCAGAAAGCCAGGACTTTGTATCTTAAAAAAAAAAAAAAAAAAAAATCAAGTAGGTTATTAATTTCAGTTTCTTTCAGCGAAAAAAAAGCAACAACAAATAGCATCTTTAAAATATTCAGTAGGAAATTTCTATTAAAGATTGGAAGACTGAGTTCACAGGAATATCTCAGAGAGACACAGGACAAATTGTGTATTTAGCAATGAAAATTCTACTCTTATCACTTTTTGAATGGAAGGGTAGGATAGGATTCTAAAGAATAGGATTCGTTTGCCAAAGACTATTTTTCCAGTTGTTACCATGTTCTTCCCCAATACTATACTTTCTTAAGACCTTCTTTGGTGTTCTAATTTTGTAATTCAGAAAACATGCAAGATGAATGCATGCAAATGTAAGTCAGGTGAAGTAAGTCAGATGTGATAGCACATGGTAAATCACTTTATTGCAATATTTACAATGCAAATTTCTGAGGGTTTCCGGGCTCCTCTTCCCTCCCCTCTACAGATGTCTAAGTCATTTGCTGTTCAAAATTAGTGAGGCTTGGTACCTTAACACAGTACTATTTATATTCTGAGACAAGAGAATATAATTTACCTTATTCCAAGGCAATTAAAATTTTACAGCTACAATTACTTATTTTCCCATAGGATTTTGGTAATCATCCTTCTCATATAATGGACTTAAGGCCCCAGCACACCCAACATGTCCTGCTTACTGCTAGATTCGTCAGGTCTGTAATTAATAATTGTGTTTAATGTTGATAAATAAAATTGTCAGTGCTCCTTCCACTAATTGGTATTCCAGATAACAGTTAATAGGTTTATTTATGCCTTAATAAAAGTCTTGTAATTTAGTTTTCCCTCAGCTAGGCAGGTCTTAATCTGTCATTACTTGTCTTATGATACTATCAGTGTAAGATGACAAGCATGGAAGAGCTTATTTACATTCAGTAGTACAGCAGATCTCCTGTTGCTGCAGTGAACTAAAGTATTTACTTAAGACTATAAGCAGAAAAAAATAACCACAGCTTAAGTTAAAAAAGTTTTTTTTAAAGATTGTGAAGAAAAAAAGCCAAAGGTTAAAAGCACAAAAACATGCTTATTAATATTTTTATATTACAATTTTCACCATAAAGATCATTTACACAAGGTGAAATTTATCTATAAGCAAATAACAAAAAGAAAAGCACTTGATAAAGTCAAATATTCTATTTTTAGAGTTATTCTCCTGCTTGGTTTTGAAATACCACCATTCCAATGATTCCAGTGCTCAAATGGAGTATCATTTTTGAATACACATTTTCTATAATCCCAGTTACTAGTAGATCTGTCTTTTCTTCATGACTATGATAGCATTCTTTCTATTCATCTTTAAAGTTAAAAATCTTATGAGGCATTTTTATCTTGCACTTCAACTAACAATACATCCTTTGAAATAAAAAAAAAAAAAACACATTCTTTTCATACCCAGAAAAAAACCTCCTACTGTAATGCTCTGTCTACCCTGGCCAAGAGTCCTCTCTTTTCCTTATGCTGGTTCTCTATTACTGATCACAAAAAAAGAAAAAGCTACCTTCCTCAATTCACCTCTTATCACAGATTATCCTGTAGGAGTTGTCAGTCACCTTAAAAGACCCTCTCTTTACTCCAGTCATGATACATTCATCAGTTTGAATGTTTAATGAAACTAACTTAAAATTAAAACTAGAACATTTATATGGCTTTCCATGTAAAAAACTCTGCCATAATTTCTGATAAATATCAAAACAAGGACATCACCAGTGAGCTACTGTTCCATCATTTTTCCTAGTATTTCCACTTGCTATTCTCAGTTTATAAGATTGTCTGCCTGTCAGAAAACACAGTATTTCTCCATATGTGCAGCACCTAGCATGGCAGCCCCTTTCCCTATGGCTAGAATCTCACCTTTAACTTAAATTTAAAATAACAGTTCATACAGATGTGTAGTAGCAATTTGAAATGATTATTCTACTTCACAATCAGGACTCCCACTATTCAGTAGAGTTCAGCATCCACAACTTAAGGCACTTTCTTGGGATAGGGACTAATTGTTATCTCCTCTATTTTTTTAATGAAGAATAGCTTGGAGTAAATACACAGAAATATGCTGAAGTTACTGACTGCTTTGAAAGACAAAATGAGAATTTAATACAATTCCACAAGGAACTGTATCCATAATAATTGGGAAGAGAATACACTATTTAAATATATACATTTTATGTACTTGTCATGAAGGAAAAAGGAATTACAATAAAACCATTAAATTATGTACGTTATGATGAGTATCAGAATTAACACAAATGTATATCACAAAAAGCAATTAAGTCATATAAAATAAACGAAGAAAAAGACAATTAAAAGTGTCAAATCTTACTTCACTTACATAAAAAACCAATTCTTGTTTACTCTGTTTTGGTGAAATTGAACAGTCAGCAGGATTAACTTAGTACTATGAAAGACTAGAATGTTCATGTCAAGCTTCAAAAGTTTTGCATATGTAACAGTTGATGATACATATTGAAAAAGCTTGGCCTTTACTTTCTCTGGTTTATCACAGTACATATGCTGTTCTAATAAACCTAGAAAATTAACCTTACAAAAAAACAAAGAAAAACCAAAAAACTCCAACACTGTAATGAAGTTGTATCGAAACTGAAGCTAAGAGATCATTCCAAGACATGTTAGAATGAGAACCAAACTAACAAACACTACGCAGGGGAGTGAACATCAATATCAAACCAAAACCACATATTTAAAAGTTAAAAGATCAAGAAATGTGACTCGAATCACCAGGGTGCACAAGCCTAAACGTTCCAGTATTATCTGAGTGATCTGGATTTGGTTTCTTTCAACTGCCTCAAATGTCTCTTCAAAATCTAGGCATTTTTGAACATAATTTTTAAGACACTGAACCATTCCATCTTGTTGATATAGATAGCACCTTCTTGTACCTACTTTCTCCTGTGATGTGCAGTCTAATCTGGAACTGTCATTATTTAAAGATCTGAAGAGACCAGATGCCTCTCCAATTGCCTATTTACAGTTTTAAAAAAATTCCAAATTCTTTTATGTCAGTTTGAAGGTTTAAGTCCTACTTAAAATATTAGTTACAGAACATAAAATAATTTTCTAAGTGTGGAAGCTTTCATTCTAATATATTCCTTCAGAGCCTAATTACTCCAATACTTCTGGAAATTTCATGTCAAACTTTAAATTATTTATTACTATTTTTTGAACCAAAGATTCCTGGGAGACTTTTGATCTCATGAGGAACAGAATTCCAAGTAACACACAAGCAGTTAGACCTTGAGGTTCTGTGCAAATAACTTTAAATAGAGATAAGATATGAAAGAATCACCAAACTGACTGTGGCCATAACATTCTGAGCTTGGCTTTTCCTAATTCTCAAAAATCAAGCCTCTGTTGAATGCAGAGATATCTAATAAACTGAGCCCACCAGAATTCTCATATACTTCCAACTGGTAAAATATCATGATGTTTAGGGTATTCTAACTAGTCACTTCAGCACATCTGTGGTGCTGATGAGTTTGTCTTGATTCTTTTTCAATTTGCTGTTCCTACACAACACTCTATACACAGGCACACTTGCATGATAAACCCTGTAAATATTCTGAAACAGGGTTCAAATTTTGCTTTGTAAGGATGTAAATTTAAGTTACTGAGAACAGGATGATCTAAGAGAGCACCTGAAATTGAATCAAAACACTTTTGATTCAATGGCAGTCTTCTAGTACCAGTTTACTGTCTAAGCTTCTGGGAAATGAATCACCTTCCCTCTGTTCTACTGTTTCCCTTTATTCATATAAATTACCCCTCCTTTAATACCCTTTATTCTGTGACAGTAATGTTGGTACTTTAAAACTACAAGTTACCAGAGAACTAAGGATGGCAGCAATGCAGATGAACCAAGTAAAACCTTACATCAGTTCTCACTGCAAATAAATTAAGAAAAATAGTTAACAGCTGGGAATAACGAGGTGACATTTCCAGAAACTGACACTACAATTTTCCATAGGCAGAGTAGAATTCTATACAAAGACAGACTGAGAAAATTAGGGAATATAGACACAAATCTAATTAAAAATAAACTTAGAGAGGGAACACAATAGAGACATAAAATAAGGACTGCTATAAACTGTGTCAATTGAGGCTGTTTACATACTTCTAAAAGCACTCTTCAACCTTCTGGTCCCATGACTCTGTATACCAAAAGGATAAAGTATGATATCACCAATTAAAGAAAATTAATTTGTTCCAACACTATAAGTCTCAGGAGATTTGATCCAGAATAGTTTAGGTAAAATCCTAAAGATGCAAACGATGTTTTTTAATCTTCTACTCCAAGAATATACTTTTAAAATTACCTGGTTTGTTAATAACATCCTGCAACTCAGTGACAGAACCAATTATCGCAGCAAGGAGGTTAGAACTAGTAAACCAGCTGAGTTCTTCAACACAGTTAAGCTCTTCCTCTTCACAACCTGTGAAACAGAATTGTGCCTAGCAACATTATAACTGAATAACTTAGATAAGGCACTACTATCCCCAGCTTTTTCAGACATTGACTAAGTACATAAGGGAAAGACTAATTATTCTTTCAGAACAATTTAGAGTGTATTAAATATGCTTCCAGAACTACTAAAACAGAAAATTAGATCAATCTTCTAGTTTGGAAAACATTTTTTATGCCATTTTTCCTTGTGGGGGAAACATGAGCTGGTTTGGCAACAGAAAGTGACAAAAAGACTACATAGTCTCTAAAGAAAATTTAGAAATCCTACACTAGTACTTTACCTGAATCAGCAAGCAATTTTTTTGTATTTTTCAGTAAGAAATAAACATTACAAGTTATTAATAAGAGGATATACCTTTTCAAAAAATATGCTGATGATTAATAATGTAGGAACATTTCAAGATATTTACCACATAGAGGAGAGGTACCTAGTTCTGAAATCCATAACACAAATATCAAGGATATCAAACAGTGTGACTTCACATCTGTAGTTGCAACTTTATTTGCAATGTTTAACAGCCTAAGCATTTCCTTTTAGGGGAAATTACATTTGTCAAGTACTCTAAAAATCACAAATCCAGAAATAACATTTGTCAAAATGTCATTAAATTTGTCTTTACACTCCATTAATAGTAATATTATTATATGTTATTCTCTAACCATGAATACTTGATAGATTATGCTTGCCTTTAGATTCTCCTACATAAACTCGAATTCCAATGCCTTCTTTTAAGCCATTTGTCCAGGTGAAGAGGGAACTAGAAGACTGGGCTAAAACTTTAAGTCTCTTAGCTGCCAAAACTGCAATTACAGCTCTTCGGAATACATAAATCAGGCCTTGAAATTTTCTTTTCTTTATTTTTACTTCATTTTGACTGTTTTCTTCACCAGCAGATAGAGCATGAACTAGGGTCCTAATCTTCTGGTTCACTAATTCATAAATGTTGACCTGATCCCGGAGAAGGTCTCTTTGGGAAGACATAGCACACAATTGGCCATAGAGAGGATACAGGGCACCTGCCAATAGCGCACAGGCTGCCAAGAGAGATGAATGCTCCTTCTGAAACTGTGTTAACGTATTTTTCACAGAAACACTTTCAAGGGCCAATTTCTCTTGACTTTTTTCAAGGACACGCACTTTTTCCTTATTTTTCTCTGCTGTTCCGTGGTATTCCTGGGATAAAACGGAAAAAAAACAAACAAAGCCAGAAGAAATATTAACAGTAAGATTTTTTTTTAAGCAACAAAATCATTTTTACTAACACAAAAGCTAAAAAAGAAGAAAATTAATTTTTTCACATCCAAATAACACACATTAAAGGACAAAAATTATTACTAATGATGATGACAGTATCTCTTCTAGCAAACAGTTAGAGATGAAAACAAATCAATAGTACAAGGAAAGTTTTCACAATCTTCAGCTACAAACAGATTCCTGGTTTCTGATGATAATCCACTTCTACTGCAGTACACAAGGTCCAAAAGCACCTGGTTGTCCACAATACAGTTTTATGAGTTGACTTAACAGTTAGCAATTATGCCTCCAATTTCAGAAAGAACATTGCTCAACAAAGCAGAAAGAAAGTTAGCGTAAGGGAAAGAAAAAAAATAAGGAAGACTCTGGAACATAAACCTTGACAGATTGGCAGCAGCTGGAAAAGGGGAAGTAAAGGTGATCTCTTAATTACTTTGTAATCAACCCCCTACTTATATATTCACAGATTAATTACGTCTCATAAAGAATTGGGTTTTCAAAGGAACAATGTAATACAGATATTTTTATTTTGACTAGTGCCATTACAGTTTTTCCAAGTTACAGAACATTTTTTATTTTCCTCTATATGCCCTGAAACAGGGAAAGAGGGAGACTTATAATATCAAACTGGTGTAGCAAAATGAAGATGCTAACAAGTCATGGAATGCCAGGACTAAGGTCAGATTATGCAGACTGCAGTTCCTGTAAAGGAATCAAGACACTACACTGAGAGCTCTAAGTCACCTCAGAGACTTGACACATGAGAGCCCTTTGTGATTGGGAAGGTGACTACAGTTAAACAGGATCCACTGGTACTCGGAGGTAATAAACTTTAGGCATTGTTCACAAAGAACTCACAAGATCAAGTTAAATGTGCATGCTCCATTTACAGTCCATGGTCACAAAAAGGAAAACATGGATGGAATGACAAGCCCATATGATGAAGAAAATTGAGGATTATGCTAAGTTTCAGATATCTCTCTTAGAGCTACAGATATTTTTGTTAAAATGGTATGATATTATTCCTGCTAGCAGTGGTCAAAAGAGAAGTAAAACGATATCATCCAGCCACATTCTCATGTGTTTTACTTGGTACATGTTCCAAGCAAGTGATGAGGGCAGTACCCTAGTTTTTTTTTCCCTCCTCCATCCTGCAAGCACAACAGAATTAAAAAAATGTACAGCTATCTCTAGAATGAAAATGGAAGCCTCTACACTATATCTTAGTCAAAATGTCAGTTCAAAATGTCTTTGACCAAATAAATATTTTAGCAGTTTTTTAGGAGTGAAACAATTTGTAATTCTATTAAAATACTTAAAGTGATACAAAAATAGAGTAGGCCACTAAAAGGTCTACTAATTTCAAAATGCAATTTACAGGCCACATATGTCACTTAATGCTAAAATTAAGTATGAACATGTACAATACTTTCAGTGCTACTGCATTATTTACAGTGTTTGATTTTTATAGATAAAACCCCTGATAGCATGACTGGAAGGAAGAGAAGAAGCAAGCCGAATTTAGAAAATATCTTAGGTTTCTGGCCATCACAGGTGAAACGCCAATATCCAAGTAAACAAACTGTGATCCCTGCAAGGCTCTTTGGCAGCAATACCAACATTCAGTGCTCTGGCTAATTAATGCTTGTTTTTGTGCTTACGGTCATATGGTAACATGCAAAAGTAAATAAGACAATCTCTGACTTCAGAAATGTAAAAGTTTTGTAAGAAAAGATACCTTCTTGCTTTTATTGGCTAATAATTTCTTTTGTCTTACAACACACTGTTTCTAGTGTTTTCTTTAAAGCTTAAAAGCACAGTTTTTGAAAAGGACACATACTTCTCTTCCTAAACATTGGCAAGCTGTTTTCCTTTGGTGTTTGAGCTTTGACAGGCACCTCACTGAGTTGCAGAGCTTCACTGACTCCAAGAAATCTTAACAAAAATCAGGTGCTACTAGCAAAACTACTTTATCTTACTTCTTATTGTGCCCTTACTCTTTATTCTGGCATGGAAACAGAACTGGAAACTAGAAATATGATGACACAGAGACATAAAAAGGTTATCCTTTTGCAGCTCTGACTCAGCATGGGTGGCAGCACAAAGACAGTGCCTACCCCACATGTACTAAAGCTGTCCCCCAGGGAGGGCAAGCAACCAGAAGAACGATGAATAGAGCAGGCAAACAGGGCATGGGATGTCAGCCAGGGCACCATAATGCCATTTGCACAGGCAGGGCAAGCAGGAAGGGCACTGAGGTGCTGCCAACTCAAGCACTTAGATCAGTTGGTGATCATCACTCTCCCTGAGAGAGCTCAGGTGCACTGTCCACTTGGACAAAAGTTGCTTCCTGTGCACACACCACAAAGGACAGTGTGACCCAGACAGAGCACTCACGAAACCATGCAGGGGCCCAGGTCAGAGGCTGCAGAAGTGCCACAGCCTGGTGCTGCTCTCAGAGGGCAGCAGAGAGAACAGTTATGTGAAATGCGATCAGGTCAATGATCTGCTTGGCCTAATGGCAGAGCTGAAAGATGGAGTAGAAAGAATAAGAAGTATTAGGGACTCTGAGGAAGAGATGGAGTGGTGGAGCCACACTCTACCATGCCTTAGACAAATGCACCAACTGTCCACTTCATATGAAGCAATGGATCCCCACCCTCTCAACACCAGGCAGAAGGAGGGGACCTTAGAGACCGAGGTGAGTGGAAACAGGTTTCTGCTTGGGATGGCAGGTGAATCCCCTCCCAAACTACCTCACCTTCCCAGGTGCCCTTACACAATAGGCATGAGACCCTGGAATCTCAGAACCAGGGAAATGAGAACGTGAATGAGAGTCCATCTGGATTGGACAGATCATCTAGGGCAGGGCAGCCTACCTCCCCCATCATGACCTCCTGAATTAGAAAAAAAGAAAGGTAGTAGCAATTGTTTTGAGAGGAATGGAGGGTCCAGTATGCCAGCCAGACCCAACCCAATGGGAGGTGTGTTGCCTCCCTGTGGCTGGGTAAGAGACATCACAACAAACTTCCCAGCCTGGTACAGCCCACTCATTATTACCAACTACTGGTTTTCCAAGTGGGTAGCAACAAAGTCCCAATAAAAAGGCTGCAGATGATCAAGAGGGATCTCAGAGCCTTGGGACAACCGGTCAATGGATCTGGACCACATGTTGGTTCTCTTCTGTCGCACCAGTTTCAGGGAATGATGGGGCAAGAAACAGGAAAATCACACAGAATTCACAGGTGTGATTCAAGACTGGAGTTACCAGCAGAATTTGGGGGTTTTTGGACATGGGTCAGTTTATATGACACCGAGTCTGCTGACAACAAAGGAGATCCTCCTGTCTCAAAGCGGAAAAAGGATCTTAGCCAGCAGGGTTCATTGAGAAAACTTTAAAATAGGTTTGAAGAGGGATGGAGATAGAGCCAGGCTCAACAGACATAAGGTGTGGGAAGATAAAAACTACAGTGACCACCCAAGAAGCAAAAGGAGGCTTAAGAGGGGACACCTCCAGTGAGTACAAGCACCCAAAGATGTAACCACAAGACAGGACTTAGGGGTGTCCCTCTGCACACCCACTGGGATATCGACACAATCAAATACTTCTATAAAGTGCTTACACACCAATGCACACAGTATGGGGATCAAACAGGAGGAACAAAAGATCTTTGTGCAGCCACAGGGCTTCGAGTCTCATTGCAATTACAGAGATGTGCTGGGGCGCATGAGGAAGAGTGTGACCAGCAGGCTGAGGGAAGTGATCCTCCTCCTCTACTCAGCCCCGATGAGGCCACATCTGGAGTGCTGTGTCCAGTTCTGGGGTCCTCAGTACAAAAGAGACATGGGGCTACTGGAGAGGGTTCAGCAGAGGGCCACAGCAATGATCAGGAGTCTAGAGCATCTCTCTTATGAGGAGAGACTGCAGGAGCTGGGCCTGTTTAGAGAAAAGAAGGCTGAGACGGGATCTCATTAATGCAGATAAATATCTCAAAGGTGGATGTTAAGACAACGGAGCCAGACTCTTCTCAGTGGTGCCCCACAACAGGATGAGGAGCAATGGCCATAAACTAAAACACAAGAAGCTCCACTGGAACATGAGGAGGAACTTTTTATGTTGAGGGTGGCAGAGCACTGGAACAGGCTGCCTATGAAGGTAGAGTCTCCCTCTCTGGAGACATTCTGGGTTTCCTGGGTAACTTGCTGTAGGTGATCCTGCCTTGGCGGGAAGGTTGGACTAGATGAGGTCCAGAGGTCCCTTCTAACACTGAGTGTTCTGAGATTCTGTGTCCTCATCAATGTCTATAAGTATCTGAACAGAGGGTGTCAAGGGCGTGGAGCCAGACTCTTCCCAGTGGTACCAATCAACAGAACAAGAGGCAATGGGCAGAAACTGATGCACATGACACCTACCTGAACATGAGGAAGAAATTCTTTACTGTGAGGGTGACCATATACTGGAACAGATTGTCCAGAGAGGTTGTGGAGTCTCCCTCACTGAAGATATTTAAGAACCATCTGGTAACAATCCTGTGCGATGTGCTCTGGGATGACCCTGCTTGAGCAGGGAGGTCAGATCAGATGACCCACTGTGGTCCCTTCCAACCTGACCCATTCTGCCATTCTATGAGTTTTTGATTCCTGTATTTCAGCTCTTGTATTTTTCCAAATATAGACACCTATACATATAAATAAACAACATCAAGGGCCCTGTCCTCCCTTTGCTGTGGTTTAAGTACAAGGGCCAGACATGTCTACCAAAGACACCTAGTGGGTCAGGACCTGTATAGTTACACATACTCCTCCTCCTCCTTTTGCACTGACTTTTGATACAACTGCAATATATTATATCCTTTATCTAATTTACCTGCCTTGCTGTAAAAGCAAGGCCTCCAAACAAAGCAAAAAAAAAAAAACAATATACCCTTTTTTTCTCTCTAGGGGACTTTTTCTCTTTCTTATTCAGCAAACCTTTTATTTTTCTGTTGGAATTAACATTTTTAAAGTAGTTACAGAATTTTTCTCTTACAACGTGTTTTTGCATATCAGAACAAAACCCTTCTATTTTAAGTGGTTGCCACAAAAAATTGGGGACAGATTAATAAATATCTAAACAATAAGCAAATAACAACTGGTAGTTAAAATTCAGAGGATATTTCCTATGAGACTGTGAATAGCCTGAATAAATAATTTGTGTGAGTATAAGGAACAGGCACAGTAACATTTTCAAAATGGAACACTATCAAATCAAGAGGACTGGACTCCTGCTACAAAAGGCAAGGAAAAAGGATATGCACTTTAAGCTCCATCGACTCTCCAAACATGGAGACCACTGACAGAGAGTGATATCTACAGAGTGCCTTGGTTATTGCTGATTTGTGATAAGGCTATACTCTGGGAATTTCTGCCCTACAGAAAAACAGTGAAATTGCCTTCAGATTATAATCCATTTGATCTACAGTACCAGCTGTGAAGTAGTACCTATTAACATTCATAGATCCTACCTTGGAACCAGGGACTCTGAACAGTACTGGCTGGGCACTGTTTAGTAGCGGGTGTCACTGCTACTAAAACCTCCAGATTTTGGAGTGTTACATTTTAATTATAAGAGGATCATTCTGAAAAGGCCTAACTCTCTACTGGAGTTTTAATAAACCAAAACAATAATTTCAAGATACATTACTGATACTGTTGCACAGTTAGAGCTCTGTGTTAACTCTTGAGAGTATGAATTAACACACTTCAGTTTGCTTTCACACATGTAGCAACGAAAAAAACTAACGAAGTCTTGACACAGGATCTCTGAGGAGAAAATACCTAGAAGTAGTCATGGAACACTGGTTGAAGACAAAGTAACAATATCATTAGCTTGGTGCAGGACAGCAAAAATCACTCATCTTTCCTTTTTAGAAAGGAATTAAACCCTACAAGGGGTTAGTTCACTAAAGTGCTTGCAATTACACTCAGATCTTTGGATGGAAAATGCAGCAAATTGCTACGGTTTCCTTGTAGTGCTAGAATAAGTGTCCTAGAGTGAGGAGACCCCCAGTTGCACAATGCAATACTGACAAATTATATTCCACTTGCACTGATTATAAAATTTAATTAATAAAGTCTGCTAAAATCATTAAATTTAAATATTGCATTCTGTACCTTTATGTAAACACTGGCAAGTCAGTAAATCTAAAAGATCTTTTGAAGACATTCCGTAACTTGTGGCACATTTTTCCTTGTTTCCTTTGGTAATAAGGCTATGACAGTCTGTCTGCACACCTCTGATCAAACAGAGCAGAGACCTTGCAGACAAATATGGCTAGCAGGCTCAAAATACAACAGGTCAAATACAGTTTGGAAAAACAGGCAATCAGGATTAGGGCAGCTCTAATAACAGACATCCATGGATCCCAGGGAGGGGAAATCTTAATTTAGTATTTGCAGATCCAAAGTCAGTCATAAATTAAAATTCCAGAAGAAATTAAACTGTCTTCTTGATAGTTTAACACTGAATGGTAAAGAAGACAAACTGGAACACTGGATGGAAAAGAGATTGTTGAATCACCTAAGTGTATACAGACATTGCACTACCTAGATTACACACTACCAGTTTGCACTACTCCAGCTGTGTTAGAAAACATGCCCAGACTTTCTAAGGGAAAACAATTCCCTTTTAGAAACTCAGTAGTCCTGTACAGTAAGTTGATAGGTAAAGGTTTTTTCCAAAAGACATGCCTAATTTGTGCTCCACAAAAGAGAGACACATTTTCAGTACATGCTCTCCATGCTCCTAGACAATTCAGCTGGGAAGACTGGCAGGTTCAGCACCACGCCAAGGAATGGCACACTAAACTGCACTGATTTTTCACAAAACACTGGAGTTCTGAAAGAGATGACTCAGACCTTATCTTTATTGCGTAAATTCACTTTTTCTTTAGGAAGGAAATCTCATTTTTAAAATTAAAATTAAGCTTCCTTCATTCACTATTCTTTTTTTTGGCAATGATTTCATAAAAGGAAACTACAGGTGAAGTTTAATATAAATCTGGATGCCACTTATTCCACTCACAGGGACATTTTTACAATTGCAATCTCTGATGTAAAATGTAAATATCAAGCAAATAGTATCTCATTATAACTCATTCCTAATAAATTACCATTGAAAGACTTCCAAGCCTAAAATCTGAGTCAAATACAGTATTATTCTGATGAAGTAAGTTTCAAATGGCAGTCACAAATAACAAGGCATATCTTATTTCTTCTATTTCACAACACTTTTAATCGAAACACATGTAAAGGAATGTGATTGAAAATATAGTGATCAGTGGTTGTAGAATAACAGCGAACATTCTAGATTGCAATTAACCTTTCTAACAATAGTGGCAACAGTTTTACACTTTTTACACTTTTTCACCTTTTTTTTCCTTTTGTAACAGAGTCCTTCAACAGCATTGAAATCTACCACTGTAACTGCTAATTGCTTCTTAGGGTCAGAATGTATATATCTAAATTTATCCCCCAATGATACGACATTACTGTTACTCTACACAGTCTTTGCAAAGCATGACATTGAAAAAAATAACTGCTGCCCTATATAATTCTTAAAGTTCAATCTTGCAGCCTTAATATCCTCAAAAAAAAAAGAGTCCCTAGCAACTGCAGGTCAAATTAGGCAGTTCACCTCTGGAATGTTTTAGCAAAGTTATTTATTTCTTATTATAAATGAAGTTAATACACAGGGGTTTGGGTTTTGTTTGGTTGTGGTTTTTTTTAATTTTAAACAACCTTAAACTGGTTAGGGGCTTAAACTACTGAAATAATCCACTAAATATTTACAAGAAAAAAAAAATCAGAAGTTCACAGCACCATACCTGTGCCCTTGCATGAACTCCCCCAAGGAGACCTGAGCACTGCTGTTCCAGATACCTTTTTTCTTTCTGCCAGCAGCTTGCCTGTGTTTTCATCTGTTCAGCCATTTCGTTAAAAGCATCTTCCTGGCTCTGCTGAAGATCCTTCAAAGTATTGGACTTGTTCTTACAAATATATTCTAGGTGAGATATCTGTGTGACAAGCATTTAAAAAGAAATTCTCTTACCTCTCTAAACACCTTTTTACTTTATTGTACATATTAATTTAACCACAGACTATTCCAGCAGAAAATGTAATCTGTAATTTCTTCAACATATTCATTAAATGACAGTTTATTTATTTGAATTGTGTAACAAATGAACAAAAATTTGGTTTCAGTTTTGCCATCCTTATACAACCTTGCAGATATTTGGTGCTTTTTTTGTTGAAAACTTGAACCGGACACTTCCTGTATTTTTTTTAAATAAGTGCATTAAATCTTGTGCTGCTAAAGTAGTAATCTGAGTATACCAGTCCTTTAGCAGTTTGCAAGAATTGCAAACAATAAGTAAAAAACCAGCCCTTAATTTAATTTTTGTTTAATGGAAAGCCAAGACATTCCAGATGTTATTAAGCATTGAAAGAATTTCAGGAAATTTTAGTGTAGAGAATGTTTTTCTCACAAATAGCTCACTAGTTTATGATGTGTTTTCAACAAGTGTGAAGGGATTCACTCTGTGGATAACTTTGCAGCTCCCATGCAAACTAAATGGAGAAATTAATCAAGTTAACAATGATCTTTAAATACACACATCTACACACTTTTACTACTAGGGAATGTAGAAAGATACCTTAAAAATAGGTCACACAGAAATGCAAGAGAAAAATTTTGTTCTCAAGAAAGCAGGTACAACACAGGTAACAATACTGTTCAAAATCCCTGAAAAGCTAGTAAGTACATGAAAAGAGCCCTAGAGACCTCACAGTCAATATCAATAACCATACTAAATTAAAAAGCAAGAAAAAATATGACACAACACCCCCAAACACTCTCAACAATGTTTACTCCCTTCTCCTCTATTCCCTTTCCTCTTTTACTTCAAAAGGAAAATAGAAATGCACATCAAATCTGAATAATCCAGATTTTATCCTATCCCTCTTTAGTAATTTCAATTGACTGATGGGGTATTTATTAAATGATGGGCAGAGTTAAAACAATTCACCGTAACCATTCCTACACTTTACTTGAGCCAAAAGAGTGGTAACAATTCCAGAAGATGATAGTTGTTCAAAAGAGCTTTTCCCTTTCTATGACTCAAAACCAAAATGTCAAGGCAGCCAAGTTCTGGAGTCACTCTACTACATTTAGGACTGGCCTGATCAATGGAGCCAGAAAACAAACTGAAATTCTGAAGACTGGCATATGTTAGCCTGTGAAGTCAGTTTAACTTATTTAAAAACTTATTTTCTTTCCTAAAAATGCAGGGATTTCTATGGAGAAAGGCCATGAAAACTTGCTTACATCAAAATAATTCAGAAAAGTACAGCTTCTCCCTATAACAAATATTGACATGTTTTATAAAAGTAGGTATTTTCTATTTGTGTTTCTGAATATAAATTTTATAATACATAAATTACAATTAAATGAAAAAAATACATTGGCACAGCACCTCTGAATCATAAACATATAATTTAAAGATGATATTCCTAGAGTAAGTGCATTTTGTTTCTGTTTTACAGTAAAATAAAGACTTGTTTTATTAGCGTAAATGACTAAGTTCTTTGAATTGCTTCATCAGTAAGATTAATTTATTTTCTTTTAATTAGGTCCCTGTGGCTAATATTGGCTAGTACTATTAGCATGTCCTGCACTGAAAGTGGAGCTTAGAGACTTCATACCGACTTCAGTCACATTTACATGCCCACAGCAATGGCATCAAACTGAGTTGTAGACAAGCCATAATTAATGGTATTGAATTATTAACGTCCAAATCTTTTTTGAAACAAGATGAATGTCAGTCCTTTTTAATGATACTGTGATGAGGACAAATGTCACTGAATTTAATAGAGGTAGATGGTGCCTAAGGACACTTACCTTCTCATTAGCCCTGCTGAGGTCTAAGATCAGGGCATCAACATTTTCCTGCAAGACTACACAAAGCTCAGACCAAGAGAATCTATCTAGGATGCCTTCTGGTTGTTTTATAAGTACACGGCCTGCTACCAAACACTGGTATAAGCTATGGAGGAAGGTTAGTTTTTCCTGAAACAAAAAGAAAAATTTACTGTTGTACCCAAACAGTGTTAGAATCTAAATACATGCATCATATGGATAGTAATACAAGCAGGTGAAAAAAATCCCACGAAGCTGATTCTCAAACCTTTTATAAAATTCCTCAATTGCTAATATTTGCAGTCATACATATCAAAACAAGTGTAAGAAAACAGTTTTTACAAAATTTGTCTAATTATTTTTTATACTTTATGTCTAATTAGACATAGAGTATATAAAGAAAGACCAGTCCTGCAGTGGCCACAACCAGGAGCTGACACAGATAAAAATTTTCATGCTATTAGTACATGCAATTTATTTATTCATGTTAACACTTCCAGTTACATTCAAACTGTACCCACTTCCAACATTTGCACAGCATGCAGAAAATTGTCTGATTGGCTTGGCAGCACAACACATCGTTTATACAACTATCACTCTAAAGTCTTTTTAAAACTGTTTTCGTATGGATCACGAATGAGACTAAATGGCCAGATAAAACGGGCTTATAGCTTCATCAGTTACATTCCACAAGCCATGTCTAATTTAGTTACACTGATTTTAGCCAGTAGTATAATAAATTGATGCAAGTTATAAATAAACTTTAGCAACAATAGCATGCAACAGAAATTAAAGCCTTCATGCTTTTAGTACATATATGCAACTTAGCAACTTTGATTAAGACAACAATAGACAACAACCTCAAAAGTCAAATTATTGCAAATGTTCCCATTGTTTTTCAGGGGCCTTGGATGAGGTTTACATTAAGAAATTGTGGATAATGGAGATGGGGAACTAGGGTTTTTCTAAGCCCTTTCCATCACACTTAGGTGCAGTTGCTCACAATTATTTCATGGCATTTTATGCAATTAAAAAGAAATTGTAATTAAACTTTTTTTCTAACAGATCTGCAAATTCCCCAAGGAAAATCCAGTGTGTCACCTTCATTACATTTTTGCTTGGCTGTGATAAACTGAGGATGATAATTATCCATTTGGGGTAAAAAAGGGGGTTCCAAGACCCTAAATCAATTCACACATGTTGAATGCAACCACAGTGTTGTAGACATGCAGACTTTACAACAGAGCCAGACTTCTAGTTTCCTTCACTTTAATCATTATCTGATGTGTGTAACAATTTCAGCTGTTTCATGTGGACCCTATTTAAATACCAGACTGTAAGAGTGATGGAAAGAATGTTTCCTTTTTACTCAGTTGGCATCCATATCCAAATCTGTGGAAGTAATGAGCTCAATATGCACAACTAGAAGTACATCATTGTACTAGCCAATGCTAGTACAGAACCACTTTACTGGGGGGAAAAAGCAACAAAATTAACATCTCTTTAATATATATAAGGAGAGAGATAATAGTTCTGAAATAAGATGCTATGAACTCGTTTCTTCATATAGCACACCACAATGACCTAATAGATAACAAATAAGAATTTCTAGGTTTTGTGGCCTGCACACAAAACTACCTCAACGATATGTGAATCAGTAATAATGATAATGACACTACTCTATGTTCCAATTGTAAAACATTTTTGTTAACTTTTAGTTTGAAAGAAAGAAAGAATTGTTCGTCAGGTGTAGCTCTTAAATATACTCAGTTGTTCAAAAATTCAAAATGCTGGAATGATTAAGCTACTAGTTCAGATACAGAAGAAAGGAGAACTGATATGTCCTGAGATCTCACAGATATTAAATACATATTTCAAAATATGTATCTTAAAATCATATTTTAGAGATAAATCTGTTAAGACTAAGAGTAACCATCTGATGTATGTAAATGTATAAAGCTGAGATTAAATAAAGACTCTTTGACAGTCATCTTGTCTCTAGTAATACCTCCATATCCTTCTGGTAAGCCCTGGTAAGCTTCTGGATTTCATTTTCTGATTCTGTGGCACGTACTTTCTCCTTCTCCCAGCATTGTTGTACATCCTGTAGTTTCGTTCTTAAAGTTTCTATTAAAGTCTCTCTGTCTGCACACTTAGTGTGCAGATGATTTAACTCTTTACTGGCATCAACCAGGGTATCCTGAGCTTCCTGTAAGACAGAAGCATAGAACAGAAAGGCTGGTAAGAATTTTAGTCTGTGAAATGTTACCTTAGTCTAGCGGTCATCATCTGAGGAAGTAAAGCCATATAGCCACATGTATTCATAAGATTCCAGGCTAATTCAATATCTGAATTTCAAAATTGACAATAGGCCTCTTCTACAGCTTGTAACTAGACAACATGGGCATCCCTGACTGGTAAAAGCTCCACGATGCAGTGACCTTCAGAACACCCTCTACCCCCACAAATGAGATGCAGAATGCAGGGACACAACTTATCCTCTGCAGAGTGCAAAGCTCTCAGAGCTAGTGAAAACATACATTATTTTATTAAGTAAATCTCTGATCTGTCACAGCTGAGTCTGTAAGCAACACAGCTCTTGTTCCTCACTGTATTTTTATTGCCATGAAAAAAAAAATGGGAGGACCCTCTTTGGAGGTTTGACCATGGGAAGTAACTGAATAATCAGAAATGATCATAAATACAATCATTATGTTACCAGCACCAAATTTCACCAGGTAAACAAAGAAATTAATAAACTACCCCTTTACAGTCAAAATATTTGTGAGACAGAGTTGACAGATACACATGCTTTTCTCTCCTATAAGCACTATATTTCCAGCACTGCTAAAGTTTGCAAAAGGTCAAACTGAAAGCATTGTTCATTTTTCACAAAATCGTAGCTTCTTATATGGAAAATATAATAGAAAAGATACTCCCAATTCATTAGACAATGACTTTTATTCTTCTTCATGAAAACATTAAAATATTAAAGCAATGTTACATTTCGAACACAAATGTTTTCAGACTGGATCTAGCTTTTGCTTATCTCTACAGTTTTATTACTAAAAATTTAAAGAGATTTGAAATTGGCATACTGCATAAAAACCAGCACTCTCTGTGTGTAGCAAACTCAGTTTTTTCAGGAAGAATACAAATATCACTTGCAATGGGTTGCAGAAATCTTAGGTGTCTTACGAAGGTGCTGGAACAGAAGCAGAAGTCTTAAGTCTTCCAAACATAAATTAATAAAGAAAGTTCAGATCAGATGACAAGACATCATCTGCAAGTAGCCCTTAATATGAAGATTCAATGAATGTTGCAGAAAAACACTGCATAAAAACATAACGCAGCATATTCTCAGCAAAAGAGACTGAAAAACACCAGGTTTAGAGACACACTATTTTGGCAATAATACAATACACTGCCAGTCAGGAGATTAAGTTTAACCATGACCTCAGGACTTCCTCACTCCCTTGGCCGTTGATGTAACCAGACAGGACATCACAGAAGTGCTGTCAGCCAAATACAGAGACAAAAAAAATTCTTGTTCAGAAAGTAAAGAATTCTCAAGTGTTTTTATCAGTTCTCAGGTAGATTTTACTCTAAGAAATTTTAGGCTGCATATTGTATAGGTGTTAAAGACAACCTTATGCATTACATGCATTAACCTGATAAACACAAACAAAAAAAAAATTAATAAAGGAATGGATATGTTTAAGAAAATATACCTTCATATGAACAGAGGGTTCATATGAACAGAGGAGGAAATTCCCCTTTTCTTGAGAAAAATATTAAAAGAAAAAAATACTGATGCCAATTTCAATACAAAACAGTATTTTTCAAATTGATAAATGTATTTCAAGTTATTTCAGAAGTACAATCATTGAAATGATCAGTTGTGTAGTCTACAGTGGTAACGAGAATAAAGCAGCACGGCTTAACAAGCTTGCAAGGTAAACTAGTCTGCTCAACAGAACAGAATGATATGGAGACTTATTCTCATAAGAAAGATACCTTAAATCCAGAAAGATAATTTTTTGAGAACTTTAAAATTCTATGCTAAATTCATTAAACATACCTTAAGGTCTTGTCTTAAAGTACACACTTTCTCCTCGGATATCTCAAGGTCTTTTGTCATCTTTTTACACAGAGCCTTCATTTTCTCAAACTGTAAAATATATGGAGGTCAAACTGGCTTTTACAGAAAGGCTGCATGACCCCTTCAATATAAAGGAAGAACTTTGTATATAAAAGTAAAACAACAAAATTGATTTCAATTCCTTTGACAGTTTTTGTACTCCATACAATCTAATTAATGTGCCATTACAAAAGCACTAAATAACTCTTTTATAAAGATTTAAGATACAGAGTAGTGGCAGAATCCCAAACTCAGTCCACTATTAACTATCTTATTAACTCTCAAAATATCTGACAAGAACATAGAAATGCACTGAAATGCACTTGAAAGTGCAATAAATTTAGATTATGATCTGAGGAGTGGTTTAAGAAAACAAGTTTTCCACTCAGTGGCCATTTGCAGAAATTGTCCAGCTATAAGCATGGGTCTTTACTGAACACTCACATACTGTAAAAGCAGCAAAGCAGCAATGTTCCCAAGAGGCACAGTGACTACTGAATCTTCGTAGGATTACAAGCAACTATCTTAGAGGTAGCTCATGACCGTAATGTGTACTTTGCACTTTCAGAAAAGATAACATATCAAAATAATATGTCTTTGTTTACGTGATTATGAGGCTAGCAATACAAATGCCTGAAAGAAAGCATGGATTAGAAATGTATTCTAGTATAGGTTACTGAAAGCACCTGAGATTTAATGAACAACTAAGAAGCAAAATACTCCATTGATAAAATTTACAAATTACTTTGGAAATTATATTCTTGTTTATTTTTATATTTTGATGTCAGCAGACCTGGCAGAACCCTTAGAAATAATTACAGTAAATTACAGAATGCTACTGGAATATTTCCAGTCTTTTTGTTGGTTTACTATTCTTTTTGCTCTCCCTAAACATTCTAGTGGTCTGCACTATACAAAAAGTTAGAAGCTAGTTGTCTGCAAAAACCAAAACATTTATACACCTTTCAGTCACACGAATGAACCAGATCATTTAATCTAATGTTTAGTACAGCAAGTTAAAGATGACACATGACAAGTTTACCAGCATATTTCAAGTATACATCCAGGTGTACACATACATTAACAAATTCATCAATATGTGGAGTCTTGTTGAAAATCTCTCTATAAAGAGAATATCTAATAATTGCTCAAAACTACACCCTTACTGTTGTGTATTAAAATATCCTGGTTTTATTGCACAGTGCCCTTCATAGTCCCCTTGTGCATTACTGTATTATTAAAAAGTTTTATTATTAAACATATCTAACATAAAAACCCAAAAGCATCATTCTCTGTGGGGGCGAGGGTAATCAAGAAGGACAGAGCATTGCCCTTTCTATGCACCATAAAGGTGCTCAGTGATCTCTGGCTCCATATGACAACTTCAGGGTCAGTCACACGCAGTCCTACTGGGAAGTCTTGTGGCAGGTTATCTGTCGGTCCTGCTCTGCTTGCGATTTATTTTCCTTGACAGTTCATTCTTCTTTCTGTCAGAACACTGTCTTTGCTTTCTTAGAAGCCACCCCCTTGGTCTCCCCACTGCTGTCTCTGGCACAGTTTCACAACAAAGCACATCACTAAGCCAAAGCCTGCTGAGTCGACTTTTCAACTGTGCTGCCTATCACGTGACATTCCTCCTCCCAAATAACAATTCGCTGTGGGTAATATGTTCCTAGTTACTCTTCAGCTTCCAGACTTGGGTCTCAGAAGAGTTTCATAATGACTATACACATCAGTTTTCTTATCTCACTGGGAGAGACTTAACAGAGCTTGCTGTTTAAAAAGTATAATTGTTTCCATGGTCACTTATTTTTGTGTCCATTAAACACATTCAAAGGTCTTGTGGGAGATTGTTCTTTTCACAATAAAAGGGGTAAAGTTGATATACTTCTCCTTTTTTTTTCTTTTCTTTTTTTTTTCTTTTTAAATGTTGTGAGTGACTACCTAGACTATGCATTTGTCAAAACAAAAGACAAAACCTAGAAATGAAATATAGTACTGACATTTTTACAATCTTATCACACCTTGCCTTTCTGTATTTGCCAATTTTATTCAAACATAAGCTAATTACAAGTTTGTACAAAAAGTTTTAATAGTGTAGTTAACTTCTCTCTACAGCCTTTAAAGCCACAAGTTTATAAAACATTTACACACAAGAGGAGTAATTTCGTCACCTTACCAATACAAATAACAAAATAAATGCAAGACTCTGACTTCTCAGCCAGTGAAATAAAAGGACAGTAGGACTCAAGGAAAACATCTGTTTTTTTTCAACCGTAAGAATCCCAAAATTGAAATATTTCCATTATCCTCTCAGATAACTTAAAGAAAGTATTGTAGTGGTCCTATTTTAAGTGAAAGGACAGCAAAATACCTCCAGAAGAGATTCCAGGGAAAACATACTCTTTTCAAAAAATTACACTGGTTTTTAAAAGTACAGAGGGCATGATCATTTGTATAACTGATAGCAATGACTACTGAGGCTCAAGCACTGTGTATTTAGGAATATTGTGGTATATGCTGCCACACTCTTAAATCATCATCTTTTAGCTAAAATCTTAGATATGAATAGTTTCTTATCCTAAATATTTATTGAAAAATAATCCCAAAAAGGTTTAACAAGAAAACAAAACTAAATTAAACTAGAAAGACAAAAAACTCTACTCCCTGTCTCCACAAATATAAGTGAAACTTCACTGTAGGGCAAGCTTAGAGAAATAGCAGTGACAGAGATTATTTCTTTAGGTATACTTGAAGCTGTCAACTCAACATTCCCACTCTTCTGCCCTTTTTTACAAGCAAAGCATATGTACTGCTGCAGGCCAAATGTGATACATATAGAGCCAAACATTGCAAGTGTTACCTCATTAGAGGTATCTTCCAGCTTGTTCTGGTAAGCTGTCAAGATACACCTCAAAGTCTCAAGGACAGAGCAACTTGGCGGTTTATCTTTGTCGTTGCAAGTGCCTGAAGGAAAACACAGAATGAAAATTAAGCCTTAAAGCCACAGAGAGAAAATTACTCACCCTGGATGAGAAGTATTAAAACTAGTCAGGGCTTCAGTGACAATACAAAATGCTGAACAGCAGCCTTGTTTGCCACAAGAGACGCAGCTGAATAGCCACACTCTCACAGCAAATGTAGTTGAAAGATTATAAAAGCCTTAATTCAAGATACAGACCTGTAAATTCTGGATTACATTAACACTTTACGTATTTGGTATGCAGTCACATATAATTCCTACCATGGTCAAGTCTGTGTTCTTCAGTCAGACAAGCCAACTTCAAAACCACATAATTAAACACTTTGAAAAGCATGTAGTCTGAAAGTCAAGTATGTTATACTTTTTCTGACATTATTTTGCTGTTGTGACTAAGCATGTCAATGCAGTACTTCATTCACTTAAAGCTTTACTGAGCCAAAGATCAAATCATTATGTTATGCTTGGAGAAACATAACTTAAAAACATTTTAAATTATTTTGAATTTCATTCCAAAGGAAATAATTTTTTAAAACTATTATCTGTCTACACAGTTCTACATAACTTTTCAATTATAAATCTGATATATCCATTATATACACACTACACTTATTTATTAAACATTTATACAGAGACTTCTGATCTGGTTGCCTTAATTAAGGACATATGAACAAGTCTGAGCGTTCCATAGACCGTACCACAATGCACTAAGAGAGCAAAACAACACTATATTGATCAAGAGGTCACAACATGTCAGCTAATATTCAGTTTCCAAGAACAAACTTTTCTTTTTTTTCTGGTGTTACATGTCAATACCAGATTATTGACAGATCATGGTTAGCATTGTTTATACTACTATGCAGCATCTATAAACTTATTTTTACAGAGTCAGGGAAAAGCAAAATCTTAATAAGGGGACACCAGAGCCCTCTGAATCCTAAAGATGTCCCAAATAGCAATGTTACACTTAGAATCAATGTAAGAATTCATAAAATCGGACCTTTTATGAGAAGTTTAGATTTCACCTTGAAGAAAGTGACAAGGGACACGTTACTATAATTTTTATCACTTAACCACAGCTACAGCTATGCACAGGGCTCTAGTCCAGTCTCCTCAGTTACAAGACCACCTTCTCAATGCTACCCATTGTAAGAACATTTTGCAGTGATCCTGTTGCACAGAAAAAATTAACTACTATTCTTCCATACTTGTAGCTCTGGAGAAGCAGTAACTCACAATTCTCATTCAGTTTCAAATAATACCTATTAAGTCAATAAAGGCGTTTTCTTCCATCCAATAGTTTTTATCATGGTGTCTAAATAATGGGTCTTCATTTCTTATGAAGTCCCAACCTGCAATGCTGTCAAAGAAACATTAATTTACATCATGTTTGCCAAAACTAGACTTTTGCCAGTAAATTCTCCATGCTGTCATTTCTTGCCTTTGCTGCAATCCTACTTCCAGATAGCTCAGTCTGCCAACAGAAATACTAGATTCAACCTTTCTGCACTAGCTGAAAACAAGTCTATGGTTAAATGTTGTCCATCTTCATACAACTATTCAGGAGACATGCAACATAATCCAAATGGCACTCTGCTGCTGCAGAGGCACTCTGTCAGCAATATGCAAAAAAAAAAAAATCTGGAAGCATATGCCCAGTATTGCCTAAGAGTTTGAGGGTAGAATTTTGAGAAAATGCCAAGTTCAATAGAAGACTATCAGGAAGTATACAAGTGAGTAAACTCTTAAACCTGCTGCTCTGGACTTCCTGCTAGTAGTACTGGGCCTGGCTAGGATAGAGTTAATTTCCTTCACAGAGGCTCATATGATGCTGCGTTTTACATTTTTGGCTAAAACGGTACTGGTGGCCTGCAGTAAATGGTGAGGCTAACTCAAAGCAGCTAACACTCTTAGAACTTTATACCCATTTCACTTTTTTTTAATATTACTACAACCACAATTACTTTTTTCCTGAAATGGAGACAAATTTACCTGAGAACAAATTCTGTTGCTGAATAACTGCAAAATATGATAAACTGAACAGATACAAAAAGAAAGCATGCAAATGGCCCAATAACAATGCTGTGGAAAATTTATAAAGGTCACTGAAAAAGGAGAAAACATGGATTTATGCTTGTTATTTTGGTATGTATAAAGAAAAATAGCTTTCTAAAATTCTTTAATCTCAAAAATATAAAGTCTCATCTTCTCTTTCCTGTATAGCCCAGTAATCACAGTCCAGTCAGCACTTAAGGGGCTGGATCTTTAGTATTGACAGATTTTTAAGTAGATCTCTCAACCCCTTGAGTTCAAAGTTGGAAACGAGAACAAGAAAGACTACCAGGTCAGATGTGGCTCATGTAGCCCCTCACCTGCTAATCAGACTACAAAGATTTATTTAAGATTTTTACTTTTACTGGAACCTGGACATTCTCATTTCAAATATAATTACAATAAATATTTTTTTAAAAATTTAAAGAAATATTGCTACATAATACATTCATAAGTACCCCAGAGTAATAATATAATAATGAAAAAGCATTAAAAACTAGATTTCACACTTAGAAGCAGAGTAAATATGTAGAACAAATGTCTTAGTCAATATCTATTTTAATATTAGCTGTAAAGACTCAATCCACAGCACAGCTAAATTTTACTATCTGCCTCAACAAAGCCTCTGCAGAGATGCTAAAGCTTAAAAAAAAGATCTCTTTAAATAAGATTTTTCAAAGTTTACCTCAAACAAAGCAAATTAATACTGAAGTTACTGTTATAGAAACAGGTCAAAGCTGTTCTCTGCAAAGTTTACCACCAGGGAGAAAGAAAACCTACCTGAAAGACAATTACTGCTTTGGAAACTGCACTCTGGCAGCAGCATCCAGCTCCCGCCAGAATTGCTTAAGTCCCTCTGAGCATGTGGAACTTGGCAAGAATGTGGAAAACATACAGTCTTAAAGAGCTTTTCAGACTGATGTATCTACGGTAAATCTATAGGTATTGCCCACAGGAATTACATGTATAATTACAGAATAAAACTGATACCAGTTCCCAAACAAAAAAAATCATATAGCCCATGTGAGGAAACAAATGCATCACAGATTCAAAGACTTTTAAGGACAACAGAAATCTCAGGAAGTTGTTCCTTTATTGAAATTTAACAGTACCAGGCTGTAAAAAAAAAAAAATCATTTTGTGAAGACAGAAAAAAAATGCATCTTCATTTAATGACGACATCTGTTTATGTCTACTGCTCCTAAAAAGTGCAAAAACAAATCACCATGATTTACATAAAAGAAACCTGTTTGCTCTTTAAGCCACATTCTGCCTGTTTTCTTCCAGTTTACTTTCACTCTAAGTTGGAAGCATTTCATGTCTCCTACATGTTATTCTAATAGGAATTACATAGAAATATCTTTTATACATTGTTTTAAATTAAGATTTTAAAAAGTGTACAACTCTTACCTGTAAAAAACTACTAGCTTGATGTTAAAGTTCAGTTTGGTTTTGTTAGCCACTAATTCAAATGTCTAACCAGGCAGCAGTTTGTTAAGTTTGATACATTACATATAAAGCCAAGTAGCAGTGACAACCACTGACTTACAATTAATTTTAATGAAAACAGAGAAATATTTGTTCTGTACTAGATCAAATGAAAGCAATACAGTACTGGTCCACAATCAACTGTAAAAGTATTGTGTTATATCAAGTGTCCTACACAACCTTTTTGAATTTATGACCTTTAAGTTGCTGAAGGTTGCCTGAGAATTTGGCTCAGTTCAAGCAAAACATCTGTTCCCTTTGCAGGTATACTGTAAGGACTTTTTTCTCAGTTGGATTTAGAGCACAGCAAGTAAGCCCTTTTCTGACCGGCATATACACCCCAGCATTTGTATATCGAGTTCTGGGCTGACAACAGCAGGTCCACATTCCGTCACCCTCTCTCAGCTAGCAAGGCCATTTGACTGCTGTGAGAACTGCTCTTATCATGTCATCAAATCAAAGCATGGTGAGAAGAGGGAATGCAAGAGGCATCTGCAGAATTCCCACAATGTAGTGACTTTGGAACATTGACAGATGCATCTGTCATTTTATACCTTCAACTAACCTGCTGTCCGCTGGCCTGACATAGCAAAGCTGTCCAAGAGTAACTCCAGCTCTCTCATGTTGTTTTCATACGTCTCTGTTAGAAAGACCTGGTGTTTCTTGGCCTTTATTTGACAGGAGATACAGACAAGACAAGGGGGGCAGGGAATGAAACACATTAAAATAGTAAACAGAAAAAGTACATCTCACAATGGTATATTTGTTCCCCTTTAAATCTAAATTCCTGCTATACTTCTTATTACACCTCTTCTTGACCAAGATACTTAACATGACATAACAAATAAGTAACAAAGAACCCTGAAACACTCTTAAAATAAAACTAAAGACTTCAGATACTCAAAAGAAAAACAAAAGATGTTTGCAGAAAAACTTAGTCTTGATCACCTTCTGTTTCAAAAATATCTTAATGAACATTAAATTGTGCCCATCTATGCAAGCAATGAAATCTATTGTTACACCCTACAAGGACATCCAGAAAGACACCAAACTACTGGCAGACAGGCTAGAAATCCATGATTTGGCACTCAGTCAAATCCCACACCTACCCTCACTGCAAATCTGCCTACTTCAATTGTTAATATCTTCCATGCTAGACAGTGATTTCTTCAATACCAAAACTCACCCTTATGCATGGAATATAAAGCAGCAGCGTTCTTCAACACCTACTACTGTATTTTCTGAAAGAAAGCAGTCCACTAAGTGCAGCCTAATGTTCAAATCAAGACACTGACTTTATTCTGAGGGCAGAAAGGTACTACAGCAAATTTTTTAATTGCTACAATAGAAAGACTGTATCAAATCATTCCTTCCATCTATAACCAAGACTATAACTTGCAGTTTTCAAAGACATGCATCCGTCATTCCAGACAAGACCAAGGTCCTTTTGGGTATATGCAGTTTTAACTTCTCAAAGAAATGTACAACTTTAGCTGCTAACTGACAAAAAGTAATACATTTCAATAATTTAAAAAACAACCCCAAAAAACAGCAATAAAAAATGAAAACCAACCACCTCTCCCCCCAGTTCCAGAGGAAATCAGATTTAAATAATTTCACTATTTTCTTATGACAAAGGTTATGCTCAAAGATGTCTCATAACTTTTAACTGCTCAATTTATTTACATTCTAAATTCTAAAACCTATTTGAGTAATTTCCATTTCTACTTGGTAATGGAAGATTAACCTTTTTTTATTGAGAAAAATCCTACTGTTTTCTAGTATATCAATAAACTATCGCTTTAGTTATGCTTCACTGCATGTCAAAGGATGCAGGCATTTTCTCATGTGTGGGAAACATCCTCCCCATGAAAATTGTTACATACTGCTAGCATATAACTGTCAGGATAAAAACCCAAGAAATGCATTTAATTCTCTGCAGTGTTCTTCACTATTGAGCTAAATATTTTATAAATTTGCCTTACTCTTTCAATTTTAATTATATGTACTGTATATCAACTAATATATTATTCATATGTGTATTTCAGTGTTAGGTCCCCTGTAGCATTTACATGCCTTTCCTTGTGTGAGAGTTTGTACTACAGTTCATAAAGATTTTCCAAACCATTTCTATATATTGAAAAATAACTAGGTTTAATTCTTACTCCATAAAATTACTTATATGAATAGAGCTTGTAAATGCTAAGATCCAGTAAAAATATTTTATGGGATGCAAGCACATTAAAGTTTGCTCTCATGTACTGATATCATCCTAAAGACCTCACGCACTAAAACCAATAAAATATAACAATGTATAACATCATGATAAAAGAAATACTTTTTACGTAAACCACGCCAGCACAGAGGTCAGAGTAAATCTTCCCAGAAAAACATCTTCCCATGGAAAAGTCAAATGTGAGAATTTCTTTCAATCTCCACATCCAATTTTTCTTTTTGTTTAGTTAATTTACCATAATTTGGTCAGTGTATTCCAGTCTTTTCAGCCTTCACCACTTCTCCATGCTTTATTTGCTAACTGCTCCTACACTTCCTAAGCCAATTTCAGTCTCTTTCTCAACAGCAATAAAGACCAAAAGGAAACTCCTTAGACTAGCCAGTTTCTCTACATTTTAGCTGCAAAATATTTGGCATCTTTCCATTTTGACTTCCATTTTCAATCACTGTCCCCATTATCAGAAACTGAAGAAAAAACTCTGTAAATTACAGTGCTGAAAATCCAGGCACAAGGTCTAATATTGATCTGATTTCTTATGTCTCATTGATAGGTATCTAATAAGAATGTATAGAGTCATAAAATCATGGAACAATTTAAGCTGACAGGACCTACGGAGATCATCTGGTCCTGCTCCCCACTCAGAGCAGGGTTCAAGTCAGCTTAGGTTGCTCTGAGCCTCGTTCAGTCAAGTTTTGAGTATCCTCAAAGATGGCCCTCCAGGAAACCTGCTCCAATATCTCACAGTCCTCATTGTAAAGTTTTTTTCCTCTCTTACAGGTAATTAGAATTTCCCTGTTTTCTCTCATACTTCCACTGCATACATCTAAGGAGAGTTCAGCTCCACCTTCTCCATAAGCACCCACTTGACAGTTCATAGCAGTAGCTGTTATCCCTTAATCTTCTTCAGTCTGAACAAACACAGGGAGTATGCATAATGCTTCACTCTGAAAAGGAAAACTGAGTCCACAACTGTTGAGTCAAACATAATCTATGTCCAGATTCAACTATTCCAGGAGATGCAGTTACACCCTTCTCAACAACTTCATCCATCAACATGTTTGTGGGAATGCTATTCCTATAGAACTACTGGAAAAGTAGTGTGTTTCCTAGATTACTCCAAAAGGGAAATCACGTAACAAAATTGCTAAAGCCTTTACTTAAAGAGAGTTTGCTTCACAGACCACATTAATAGAAAGAGATGAAAGAATATTCATGAAGTAAAGCTTCTGCTGACTTTGCTCGACTTTCTGCAGAATGGACCATTCTTGACCTTGGAAGTGATCCTCAAAAATGACCTTGAAAATCAAAGGCAAGAGGTCTGTACGGATACACAGGGAGCTCCTGACTAAATTAAAATATTAATAGGAAGCATAAAGGGGGCCAATCAGACATAGTGACCTGGGAAAAATACCCAGAGGGATAGCCTAGAGGGATATGCTTAGGAATGCCAAAATCCACCTAAAGTTGAATCTGGCATGGGACGTGAAGAGTAAGAGGAAAAGCTTCCTGAAGTGTACCACTAGCAAAAGCAAGCCTAGGCAAAATGTGGGCCCACTGCTAATGAGGCAGCAATCTGATGACTACGATGCAGAAAAATCCTTTTCAATGCCTTTTTCACCTCAGCCTTTACTGGTAGAACCTGCCTTTAGGAATCCCAGGTCCCTGAGACCAGCAGTAAATTATTCTTGTGAAGTTTACATGGACACTTGAGAATTTAAAATTCTCAAAATATACTAGGAGCTCTTCCATCAACATGTTTCCTATACTCCCTAAAGACAATTCCCTCCTTCACAAAATATTCCACACTGGAGGACAGAAACCAAACATCTTAGGAGCAAAATCATACTTTCTGAACACAGAATATATGCTGAATTTTAGTATATATAATGCTTCCCTTCGTATCCTTAAGACGGCTCCTATTACGACAAAACAACACGAAGGATAAAATACTTCTGGTAGAAAATGTACTTGGTAACATATTTATTTAACCATCAATTTCAAAACATAACTGCACTTCTAAAGAAATTAAATAGAAGCCAAGCATTTTTCATGAAATGTACTGCATGCCCCCATCAGGAGAAAATCTTTTTTCCAAATACTTTGTATCCTTATCTATAAGGATAACCAGAAAATTATTCCACTCACTGCCAGAATTGAGTTAGTCTTTCACAAGAAGAGTATTTATATTTATCTACCTTGGTTGTAGACATATTTTCCTTAACAACCAGTATTTGACTTTGGTATCTTTCTATAACCTATTCCAATACAGAAATGATGTTCCTTTTTTTTTTCAGCATTTTACAAAAGCCACAGTTGACTAAAATAAATGCAAACTCTATGCATACTTCTAGGACAGTCCACAGAACGTGATGCTGCAAATGTGCGTACGTGCGTCAAGTTAACAATTTTTAAAAATAAACATGTGGGCAAGAATTTGAGGTCTTACCTTAATAAAACTCCAGCAGTAGTACACAGGGAATTAGGGTCCAGTCCTACAATGAACCACCATTATTCCTGAGGAACTTTCTATACTTTGTTTACAGGTACAAGGTGCTCTAAGGGGCTCTCTTGCACATGGATTAATACACCCACTCACTTTGCAGTATAAATCCCATGTGGTGATGGCAGAATAAATGCCAAAGCCAGAACTATCCACACAGCCACCAAGGAACAGTATGTTCAGATACCTCTTGAAAAGCACTTACGTCAATTCTTTACAAAAGTATCAGAATGTTTACCAGGCCTAACCTTAGCGGCAGCAAATCAAAGCATTTACAGAAATAGGTTCCAAATGACTGTTCCACAGTTCACAAAAAACAGGTTTTACTCAAGTGATGTTCAGTAAAACAGAATAGTGGCACAAATTTTAAAGAACTAGGCACAAATTGTAGTATAAAAACCAAAACAAAACAAAAGAAAACCCTTACTGACCATCTCCCTCCTTCAGCTACTGTTTATTTTTGCTCAAGTTATCTAACTACTGAATCCTTAATAGAGTTTCTTTTTTTATATTAGCTAGAATATTCAAAATTCTATAGAGGAGTCTATCCATGTGTACACTAAATACAATCTCTCAAGAAATTAAATATCTCTGCAATAAAATTAATCAAAATGCCCAAGTTTTATTAGAACTATTCTTGTCTCCTAAATAGAGATTTGCAACAACCTTTGGTGGAAGAGAATGTTATGAAGTATCTCTCCAGGGTTTTGGGTTGTTTGTTTTTTTCAAGGCAGAAAAATTTTTTGAAAACTGCAACTTTAAAAGCATTTTTTAGATGTCTGTCGTACAACACTGGGACATCACAGCTTGAATGACCTCTTCCAGAATAAACTACAAAATTAGTTTCTTTGTAGATCATTTATGCCTCAGATTGACTAGTCTTCTTAAATTAGGACAATAACAGAAATAGCATCTAGGAACACTCTACCTCTGCACTAAGGCAAGAAAAACAGGAATCAAGGTAACACAACATGTAATGGTCATTAGTGAAAAATTAATGAGGATTGTGTACTGGGGGGATTTTTTTAGTTTGGAAAAAAAATGCTCTGTCCACAATAAATTGTCTTTTATATAATTATTTACAATAATTGACATTTACATCTTTGCCATCATGTACCAGTTTCTACTCCACAGAATTTGCAGAACAGAATCACAATCTTCAGGGTAATTCATTGTCTCTTCAGTCAAGACTTAAGACACTTCTGTTAAAGAACATTGGTTAATGCGCATGTCCAGGAAACAGATTTTCAAACACTTCTGTTCTGACATTCAGTTTATGATAACCTACAAGGCTTTTACAGACAGCTCAGACATAAACAGTGCATGACTGCAGGCCTGGCTGTAAGAGAAAGATTTACATGCCACAGGGAAAAAGACAGGCCGTGTGTAATCTATTATATCACTTTGTAATCTATTATACCACTTATACACAAATGATGCTGGTTCTGATAGAATCTATACAAAAGGGAGGAAATGAATATACACTTCTTCCAAGTTAAAGGAATTTATACTAAACTACAATATTTTAATTATTTCACTTTCCTAATATGTATTCTGGTGTACTGGTAAGTTCTCCAAATTTCAATATGTGTTTCTCTTAAAATAAAGGTTTCACATCTCCTGCTTGGCTGCTACTAAGAGCATTCAGTATTAGGTTCTAGAAACGTAAATATCCTGAGTAACTTAAAACTACTAAAGACACTTTTTATTCTTTTCTATGGGACAGGAATACAGCTGAGGCTGTTTCAGTTTAAAGCAAGTCCTGAATCACAATGGTTACCCTTCTAAATTCCTATTCTTGGAGCTAAAAATTTCTAAAAACCCTAGCTAGAAATGATTACAAGCTTGAGACCAATTTCCTCAGAAAAACATAATGGAAATCTTGAGAGCCTGCTCATGCTGAACATTCATAAGCGATTTTGTTTGATAGCAACAGATCCTGTAACATTTGATCCATGCAAATTTCTGGCAAACTTCTGTCGCATGCTGATACTTAAAATTACAAGCATCATAACTACTTTACTATACATTCAACTGATCCATTAAGGAAAAGAAAAGTACTTTTTCATATAAAGCTTCAAAAGAATTTTTTGGTATATCTTCAAATTATTTTACAAACAAAAACACTAACTTGTGTGGTAACAGTACTGTGAGAAACCAATTTAAGATTATCAGCCTGAAGTGGAAAGGACATATTCAGGATGTCTAATAATAGTACAAAATATAAAAAAGTAATTAAGAGATGAAGAAACCAGGAGGGGGGAATTAAGGCAAGAGAACACACTGACATTTTCACACAATTTTAGTGTGGGTATAGGGAAGCCTAATAACAGTATACTGAATTAATTTTTGCTATAGCCTTCTGCTTTTTGATTTTGGGAAGCAAAACAACAAAAAAGCTGTCCAGACTGAGTAAACACGACCACACACAGGCACTCCTGCTTCCCAAATAAATACAAAAGTCTTCAGGAAATATATAAAGCCGCCCAAGGTGATAAAAATCTAATCCCACATGGACCACTAATAGAACTCCTCAGAAAATAAGTATTTTTATTACCTGTTCAAGACAGTCTTGTGGTTTAAAATCATTCCAGCAAAACAATTAAAACAACAGGCTCTATGAACATGGCATTTCTTTCAAGTGGGACAATATGTTTTGCTTTTACCTTTCAATAACATAATGTCCATTTTGAATATACCACTTAATACTGTTGCCATTACCAGAAACCTTGAACGTGATTAGAATTCTTGTCAGGTTTAACATACTTTACTAAGAAATTCTTCTTTTTATTCCTTTTTTGCCTGATAAAATGATTTTTCCCAGTTGACTTAGGGCAGCAAATGTCTTTAACACTTTAATGCTTGCACTGAAGAAGCTTTGTTCTCCCAAAAGAAAAAGGGTTCTTACATTTTATTTTTCTTCAATTTATTTATTACCAATCTACCTGGAAAGTGGCAAACACTAAGACAATGTATGGAATAAGTCCATCAACTGAAGAGGAGACACCAACAAATCTGAAGACTCTCTGTGAGACGCTTGTTTATTATATTAATTATTGGCTCAAACCAACTCAAGTGTGTGTGTGGGGAAGAAGGGGTAAGGCTGAATTTCATGAAGGTGAGGTGATGCCCTGTCCCACACCCCAGCCCCTTGAAGCCTCTTTGGGTAGCCCCAGAGCAGCTGTCAGTCACTGGACACCAGCAGCACTTCCCACATCACACTCCAGAGCCTTTAACCCAGCTCCACATGGGCTGGAACAGCAGGAGTCCCACTTGGTGGGGGGGTGTGGCCACGGGGGCCAAAGCAAATACAGGCAGACACATGCACTGGCCATATTTGTTCAGACCCTGCCACCTGGACACATGGGAGCTGAACTTTCACAGGACCCTGGTGGTAGCTATAAATTTTCTGGTTTTCTCTCTCTTTCTTTACTACTACTTCTCTTAATCTCCTTTCTTGATATTTTAGGTAACTTGAGAGCAAATGGGTTGGATTTGGCTAAGTTATATGTATTAGCAAGTGCTAAGTCAATGCTTTGTGGAATGCTTTAATTTGGTTGTATGTTACCCTCTAAACTTTTGCCAAGATCTCTTATTTCCTAAAGTTTACCAGCAAAGTACCTCCTGAGAAAACATGTGTGGCTTTTCTCCTTTGCACTCTCTCTTAAAGTGTTAAAAGAACCAAGGGTTCTTCCAATATTCCAGAGGGTGGATATTGTTGGAGCATTGCATATTTTTAAAGTAAAACCCCTTGGTGAGCTCACAGCTCGGGGCCTGGGGTCTTACACTCTCTGATGCAGGTCTCTGCTTCTACTCACTGATTAGCACAATGCCTGTCAGTAGCAGGGAACAGACCATGATTACCTTCTATACTCACAGCTCCAAGGGAAAGGAAGAGGAGAAATTTGCAAGTTTACATTGGCTATGTATAGAAATACCACAAATGATACTACACAATGAAAAGAAAAAAGGTTTCCTAGCTCATACAATCATAGAAACATAGAATGGCCTGAGTTGGAAGGAACCTTAAAGATCATCTAGTTCTAATACCCCTGCTGTGAACAGCAACACCTTCCACTAAACTCAGAGCCCCATCCAACTTGGCCTTGAACACTTTCAGGAATGGGACATCCACAACTTCTCTCTTGTGAAAACAACCTGCTCCAGTGCCTCACCACCCTCACAGTAAAGAATGTTTTCCTAATATCTCATCTAAACCTTCTTTCAGTTTGGAATAATTCCCCCATGTCCTATCACTACATGACCTGTAAAAAGTCTCTTTCCATCTTCTCTTCTTCCTTTCAGGTACTGGAAGGCCGCAATTAGGTCGCCCTGAAGCCTTCTCTTCTCCAGGCTAAATAATCCCAATTCTCTCAGCCTTTCCTCATAGCAGAAGTGCTCCATCCCTCTAATCATCTTGGTGGCCTCCTCTGGACTTGCTCCAACAGATCAATGTCATTCCTGTGCTGAGGACCCCAGAGCTGGATGCAGCACTCCAGGCAGGGTCTCACCAGACCAGAGCAGAGGGGTAGAATCACCTCCCTCGACTTGCTGGCCATGCTGCTTTTGATGCAGCCCAGGATATAACTGGCTTTCTAGGCTGGGAGCTCACATTGCTGGCTCATGTTCAGCCTCTCATCCAACAGCACCCCCAAGGCCTTCTCGGTAGGGCTGTCCTCAATCAGTCCATCCCCCAACCTGTATATACTGGGGGCTGCCCTGACCCAGGTGCAGCACCTCGTACTTGATCTTGTTGAACCTCATGAGATTCCCCTGGGCCCACTTCTTGAGCTTGTCCAGGTACCTCTGGATGGTATCCCATCCTTCAGGTGTGTCAACTGCACCTTTCAGCTTGGTGTCATCTGCAAATTTGCTGAAGGTGCACTCAGTCCCTTCATTTACATCATTAATGAAGATATCGTAAAATTTTTCCTTTGATCCTACTGCTATAAAACAGGATGGCAAAACCTGTAATACAAAGTTCAGGTGGATAGAGACCATGGAAAGGCCCCAGCTGGTCATATAAAAGGAAGAAGATTTCAGAAAATAAACCTGTAAAATACATCCAAAATGCCAAATGCACACCAAACCAAAAAAGAACTAAACAAAAAAATCCCTCTGTTTTGTCACCTTCAAACAAGCCGTTTTCAAACAATTTTTGCAGTCAAATGCTTGCACTAAAACTGTGTGAAATAAAAGTAAACAAGCCTACAATGGTAGCTAATCAAGCTTCAGAGAAAAAAGCCTGGGTAGAAAGATGGAATATTCTTTGCACGAAATCATAATCCATACCTACAAACTGCCTTCTTCATTAGGTATGCAAACACAAGTTACACTCATAGCCACACTTTCAAAATAATTGTTTTCTGCAAATAACTGTTCAGTTAAGTACACAGTGTATCACTTAACATGCATTTTTGAATTGGCTTCTCCAGTGTATTAGCTATATTTACTCATGTTTTACAAAACAAAGTAACATAACTGAAATCAGAGTAACACAAAGGCAGATTTATTCCACAGCTCAGCACAGCAAATGCAGATTATGTTCACAGTATGTTTATAAAACCCCAAACAAGGAGTGCCACAGGCCTTTTGTCTTACCGTTGCAAGCTCCTCCTCTAATTCTCTGCAGGTTTTTTCAGTATTCCCTAGTCTCTCAGAGAGGTCTTTAATTACCACCTTCTTTTCCTCAATGACTTCTTTCATTTCATTGTTTGAGGCGAAACACTCTCTTTCTAATCTGAAAAGTTTGAACATTAGAACATTTTTATCAAAAATATTTTTGTCAAGTATACTGTATACTTTTAAAAGATAATCTATGAGTATCACACATATCAGGTTATCACCTGATTTATGTATCATATGGCTTCTGAAGCTGCTTGCCTTATTTTTTCTTTAACTGAAGAAACTTACATATTCCTTCTAAGAAAGACTTTTCGGTTATGGTTACATTCTTTTCCAGTATCAAGGCTTGCGTTAGACTTCCAGTCATTAATTAATTTGATCATTTGGATATAGCTTCCAAATTACACATAATAAACAGAAGTCATCATATTTCAATTAACGCTCTAGTCCTCTTCAGAAAGACCATACCACATCTTGCATCTTCAACCCTGATTTCAAGTACAAAGCTTGCTTCTAAAGTTCCCATGTACTTCACTATATTCTTGCCCTGGTTCTGGCCACAACAGGGTTAATTTTTGCAGTAGCCAGGAGGGTGCATGGCTAGGACCTGAAGGCTATCCTATATCACCTCACCTCATCTTCCAGAAACAGGGAAGGGCTCCCTTCCCTGGCAGAGGGAATGGTAAGGTATGGTCATGGGCTTCCACAGTGAATAATTCCACATGAATAATTCACTTTTTTTTTTTCCTGTACACTCTGTCATTAGTACTTGCTGCTGTTACAGTTTGTTGTCTTATTTCATCGCTGTTTCCAGTAAATTGTTCTTATCTCAACCTGTGATCTTTATGTTTTGTGCCTCCAATTCTTCTCTTCAGCCCGCTGGGGGTGGGCAGGGGGGGAAGATCAAGTGGCATGTGGTTTGGAGTGTTTCAGTGGGAACACTAAATTGGGAAATACCATTCCTAAACCATGACAATTCCACTCAGAATGGCATGGCTTCAAAAGCAGCGTATCCAAATTTTCGAACAGCTCTTGTTTGTATCAGTCTTCCTGGTACTCAGGAAAACAAATAATACAGAAAGCCTGGCATGGATAAAAAAGGCAACTCATGAGAAAACTACAAGACCAAACAACATTGTATAGAGCACACAGCCAGGGACAGGAATCGAAGGAAAAATTTAGAAGGACTGCCTGAGTATGTAGGGCTGGTATCAGAAAAGTCACCTAGAATTAATTTTTGCAAAAGATGACAAAGACAACTAGAAGAGATTTTACCACTCCGTTAAGGTAGGAAAGAAAACATGGACAGGCTTCTAGACAAACAGCTAATTAATCAACTGCAGAGAGAGAAGGTTACTACACTCAATGCCTTTCTTGCCTCAGTCTTCCCTGACGAGGTCTCCTCCCAAGCCTCTACAATCAGTAAAAGGGCTCAAAAAGGATAATAATTGCTAGCAGTAGGTGAGGATTGAGTTTGGGATAACTTGTGAGAACCCAACCCATAGAAATTGAAAAGGCCAGTTCACCTACACTCAAAGGTTCTGACAAAGGTGGCCAATGTCACAATGAGATTGCTCATTATCGCTGTGAAAGGTCAAAAATTGGGGGAGGTCCATGGCAAATGGAGAAAGGCAAATGTCACACAGACATTCGGCAAAGGGCAAAAGGAGAAGCCAAGGAACTATAAACCAGTTTGCTTCATTTCAGTCCCTGGAAGGTTATGAAGCAAGTCCTTTTGTAACAATTTTCTGGGCTCATGAAAGAAACAAAGATGATTGGGAACACAGGGAGGATTTACAAAGGTTTATTCATGTCTGGCCAACCCAGTTATATTCCATGATAAAATGACCAGATCTATAGACAAAAGGAGAGCAAGCAGATTCCTATAGCAAGGATTTTAGCACTTTCTCACAGAGTATTTTTATAGCTAAGTTAGAACTTCAGTGTAGATATGTGAACTATAACACTGATAAAAAAAAGATTTGATGATAAAGCTCAGATGGTAGTAGCTGGTAAGAGGTGCCATACTGTAGGAGTCTGTATTACAATCTGTTTAACAGCTTCATTCATCACCTGAATTAGGCCAAGAGGGCAATCTCACAGAGCCTGCGGGTAACAGTGAACTGGGTGTGAGTAGATCATGACACAATACAATTGATACACTCAACAGAAGAGCTGCTGTTCTCTAGACACTGAGAAAGAACAGGACAGCATGAACCTTCTGAGATTCAACAATGACAAGTGCAAAGACCAGTGATGTGGCTGGTAACTGGCTGGGGAGCATCTATGCTCAAAAAGGGCATGGTAACCATGGTACACAGCCACAAATCAGCAGCATGGCATACAAGTAGAGAGAGCTAACAGCAACCTGGGCTGTATTAATAGTAGTGTAGCCAGATCAAGGGAAGTGAGTAATCACATTTATTTGGCACTCATTATAACATGTCTAGGCCAATGACCAGTTTTAACTACACATATTCCCCCTAACACAGGAGAAAAGCTGGAGCGGGCTAAGGAGATGTCCATCACCATACTCGGAGGCTGAAATACATGTAAGAACTGAGGGAACTTGGTATGTTCGACCCAGGGAGGAGATAACTTCGGGGTTTGTAACAGGCCCCCCAATATCTAAAAGGAGATTATCAAGAGGATGCAGCCAGTCACTTCACAGCAATGTTTGGCTACAGAACAAGAACAGAATCCAAAGTGGTTCAGCCAAGGAGAAACATTTTCCAACATAATGACAATTAAACAGTGGAACAGGTTCCCAGAGAGGTTTTGTCACCTCCATTCTCCAGGTTTTCAAGACCTAACTGGATGAAACCCTGAGCAGTCCGATCTCATAACTAATCCTAGTCTGAGCAGCAAGTTGGACTACAGATCTTCTGCAATTCCTTTCAACCTCAACTAATCCTTGATGTAACTCTCAGCAGTAGAAAAATCCAGGTCTCACTCATTCCTTTTCTCTTCTCTTATCACTCCTGTCTCACTAGAACTGAAAGTAACACAACAGGCTCAAGGTTCTTCCAGCTTTGAAGTTTTTGAATCAGTATTGTCACTTTCTGACTCTGATTTATTCCTTATAGATCAGTGTGTCTTTTTAGCTGAAGGACTGTTTCATATAGTCCTCCAAATACCTATGTGCTTCTGCATCAGCCTGGCTGATTTTTGGAATTAGCTGTAGATGGTTACTTCTTGTTCTTCTAGAACTTGCCTGTTTCAGCCCCCCAAAATAGCTTCTGCTCTCACAGCTTTTGGAAAAACAGCAAAAGCAGTTCCAAATTATTCTATGTCATGCTCTCACTTTTCTTGAAAAGTTAATTCACACAGTGACCCAAATCCCATGTTGCTTCCAATTTAAATAGTGCTACTGGGTTCAGAGCTAATTAATAAATTATGCAACCCAGAAAAGCCTGTTAGTTTGGTTTTAGTTATTACGATTATCTTTTTTTGTGAGAAAAGAAAAAAATTATGCAACCCAGAAAAGCCCGTTTGCTTGGTTTCAGTTATCACAACTAACTTTTTTTCTGAGAAAATAAATTCTCATAGCATTACAAAGCTTCCAACTTTGGTTTTATTTACGTACATCAAGTCCAGCTAAAGAGATACACAAGTGTTCTAGCACAACAAATGAAAGTTTCTAATACTTTTGTTTGGCTAAGGCTTAAAGACAAATTCGTGCAACTCCTCTAGAAAAAGAGAAAATATGTTTGGATGCCAAACTATGGCTTAAAAGAAAAAGCCAAGATCCTGACATTGTCTGAAGTCCAAGGACCAGAGCCTTCAAAGGTAAGTAGATCAAAGGCTCTTGTATTCTCTCTGAAGGTGTCTGGTGAAAGCAATCACTGATATTCACCAGCGTTACTGAGACTTGTATGCTTCAAAGAATAATAAGGGCACAGGAAACTGATGAGTCAGTACATGCCCACCCCACATAATTACCTCAAGAGAACTGAGTAGATTAATGTCCACCTCAGAGAAAGCTTGACCTTCACTACCTATCTTTAAAGAGGTCTGGAAATCTAGGTGCCTGGACTAACAAAATTTTAAGGATAAACTGTTCATGCTTCTTCAAGTTCTGTTAACAAAACTACTAACTGTTTTAATTGTGTTTTAACTGTGTTTCCATTCTCTGAAATTACAAAGGACAATTTGCTCTCAAAAACTCAGTTGGCAAAAGTCGCTAGGAATAATTGCCTGAATCAACACATGATTGCAAGTAGTGAAAAGTACTGTTTGGATATTAGGCAACATTTATTCTCATATCCAGTTAACACAGAACAGTTGCTCCGAGCAGCCATAAATTCTGTTTTATACCAAAAACCCCCCTAAGATAGGGCAAAGAAACGTTGAACATAATCGTCCTCTTTAGAAGAAGGAGGCAAGGTTTTTTAAGGTTCATGTTGTATTTTAGAAACACAAGTACTTACTTCTCTGTAAGCAGTAATATTGACACTTCTATGGCAAATGCTATCATAATTGTAAAAACTGTATTTCATAGTCTTAGCCACAAACACATATTCAAGTATTTTATGCAGGAATTCCAAACAATGAAATACAGTGCTGTGGTAGTTTGGTCTAGGCCCTCCTTGGTGACCAGTTTGCAACCAAGGAAGGGTCCAGATTTACCCAGTATTCCCTACAATTTTTACATAAGCCAGGCTATAAGAAGAAAGGAGGAAAGGCCTTCGCTCTCTTTCCTTCCGGTAGCTTGGAGGTGCAGGTTCCCTGCTGTTGAGTCTGCCGTGTTGGGGAGCGAGGCCTGGTTAGGCCTTGTCAACCTTGGGAGACAGAGGTTGCCGGCGATCGTTCCGGAGCGACTCTCGGTTGTCCCAAGGAGAGTAGTGAGATATTTCTTTGCTAACTCTTCTAGTTGCTAGATATTGGGCTACTAATCAGGAGATATATATAGATTTTTTATTTTGGTTTTGTTCCTTTTCCCTTCCCCCTTCCCTTTCCCTTGTGAAATTGTATATATATTTCAATTGTATATAACTGTAACATAAGTGTAAATATATTTTTATATATATATGTTGCTTTAGCTCTCTCTCTCGTTTCGGTTTTTCTTGATTGTTTTTCTCCCTCTTCTCCCTGAGGTTTGGGCGGGGGGGGGTACTTCTTGTGGTGAGGTTTGGAGACTTGGCAGGGAGCCAGCTTCAAACCATATCAAGTGCCTAAAAAAACCCTCTTTTTTTCTTTTTTGAGGGTAAGGTTTTTGTTTAAGATTTCTTCGCATTTTTCAAAAGTGTAACTTTTGTGCATCAAAAATATCCTAGAAATAAATCCCTTCAGTTCTCAAAGAAATAGCTTTATACATGTAGATAAAATATTCTCACAAGGAACAAAACATTATTGAATGCACAATGCAATTCAATATCTAACCATTATCCTTACATTGGTCTGAATAATCTAATACAGAAAAATATCTTTAAGAGTTTCTCAAAGACTTAATTGGAAAATTACTACTTATGGATGTTCACAGTTTTTAACTAAAAAAGTTAAAAAACAGATTTTAAAATTTAAAAAACACATCTTGTTTTTGGAAATGGTTTGGAAAATTCCTCAACAAATGTTTAAGCTACCATTAAAAATGCTGCTAATTAGCTTATACTTTATCTCTGTAATCATCTCTTGATTTTCAGAACATATTCACACTAACAGCTCCCTGATTCACTATAGAAAGTGATGCTATGGCAGCCATGTTGAAAAGACGACAATTTTTTTTCTAGACTGAAAACTACTCCAGCTTAACAAGCATTAGACAAAAAAAAAACCTAAAGAAGCTCCATGTTTCACTTGAGGATGATGAATTTGGCTAATCTAACCTCAAATACATAGATGAACCTTGGAACATTAGACCTTGGGAGAAGTGAAGAAGTGGTTCAAGAACAAACACAGGAAGAATGTAGTTCAAGAAAACTTTTGTAACATCAGTTTTTTCATATTTTCTGTACCATGTAAATATGGAAACCTACCAGAAAAAGAAAAAACCCACAAGACCAGACTAAAAACTAAAAAAAACTATAACAAAAAGAAAAAAAGAACAATAGTCCATATTCTGTGTAAGAATAGGAAGTTAGCTACCAGAAAAACTCAGACAGTGGAAAGCAGCCTGTAAAAGTAGCCAGTAAAACTAGTGATGCAACAGCCATTCCTCTGAAAATGGCTGTTTTGAACACAAAGGAGCTTTTTTAAAACCAAGCAACCAAAAAGGAATAAAATGTCAAGTCAATGGTATAGGCCTTCTCCAGTTCAAGAAAAGGCAAAGAATTTGGTATCAGTTTAGTGTCATATATTTGCTGACAGAGAACTCATGCTCAAAGCAAAAACAACCAGGCAGGATAAGATTACAGTTTAATTAACTGACGTTATTTCAGAACAATAGAGAATCTTGAAATACACATACTCGGTTTCCCACCTGTGAAGACTGCAGTCTTCCTGAAGCATCACTTTAGATTACTATCATAATGTATTTCATACATTTTCCCAAATTTTTATCATAAAAACTATTTCTTTTTCTTTGAGAAAAAAGTTTTCACTTTCACTCTGGTTTACCTAAATGCACAATCTTACATTCAGACCTCTTTTGATCTTATTTTAATGAAGAGCTTTAAGGTGTTTATAATACAGCACGTTTCAACTATGTAACTAAAAACATCTCTGTAAGCATGAGTATAGAAAGACTCTCTCAGGACACAAACTTCCTTTTTTGTAGGGAAACCAGTTTCTTTTTTCTCCACTACTGTTCTTATGAATAAGTCACCATAAATACCATTGTGTACAGACCCACATAATCCTAGATTGAAAGAGATGCCAACTCTGTCGTTTCCAACCCATTCTACTAGCTTGAGTCTCTTCCCACACCCCTACTGTATTCCACCCACTTTATGTCTTCTTAAACTCCCTCTTTCCCTAAATTTAACCAATTGCTATCCTTTATTTCACCAACTCCTCAGTTCTGTGTCTTCCAGCACCATTCTTCTTCCTGACATTTTCTCACCCCAATATAAACTTGGTTCAGCCAAGGAATAAGACTCAGTACAGTGCATCCTATATCTGCCAGGGGAATATAGCAAAGCCGTTCTTCCAGAAACCATCTACTACCACAGACACAGCAGATTATGCTGAGTAGGAATGGAATCCCACGTAATTTCATCTGCTCTCATACACTTAATTCCTTTTTCTAGTTTTGTTACCTAGTTAAAACTTCCCACCATCATTCAAAAGCTGAAAATGAAGATAATCCACTATAAATTACACACAACTTCTAGGCAGGATTCTGAAAGATTCATCTAGCTCACTGAAAAATAGTATTTTCATAATAATGTAAGTTTATACAGAAGAAAAAAGATCCGTTCCAACCCTGCTGCGTGTGCTTTCCCACACTCCTACCAAACATACAGGAGACAGGACCCTATTATAACTATCATTTTCAACATTTTTGCTTTGGCAAATAATCAGTAACAGATCAGTTACTCTATTTACCAATCTATACTATGTATGCTTACTGATATGGACCTATTCTTATTGGAACATCAGGTTCTGAACCTTGGTTTGGTTTGGGAAATTACATCAGATTCTGTTGTTTTATACTGACTGAACACTACACAAAATGTAAACTATAATTGGTAATCAAGCTGCCTACTGCTATTTTACAAAGAATTTAAAAGGAAACTTACTCATTGAGTTTTTCCAAGTTCTCCTGGGCATTGTGTTTTTCTCTCTCATATGCATTTTCTAACTCTTTGAACTCTTTCCTGATCATTTCTAAATCTGAAAGAGCTTCAGCTCGTCTGTATTTTTCCACATGCACAGCTTCTTCAAGTTCTTGAATTCTTAACTACCAAGTGATAAGAAAGCAATTAAAGCAAGTTAGGAAAGATTACGATCTTTAATGCTGGACTGTTTTGCTTTACGGGAGACTATATTCTATTAATTCTACATAGAAGCCTATACACACATAAAAACTTTGAACATGTGTAAAAATGTAGGAATACATAAAGTTCAAAACCGAGACAAATAGATATGCTGACCAAAAGTACCACCTGTTCTCATTTGGAGTTGTCTGGCTTTTCCCATTTTCCTGAATTTTTCCAGTAGAATTCTGTTTTTTAAATAGACATGAAAGTGTGTGACTAACAGTAAGGGCTACACTTCCTCTCAGAATAAAGCACACTTTGAGCTTGTTCATGTATACAAACAAGGAAGAAAAATTCATCAGTTATTCACCCATAAATGACAGGTCTCTCATTTTAAGAATGTTATCCTCCCAGTTCCTTTGTATGTTGCAAAAATTGAGAGGAAATTAAAGAAACTAAATCTTTTCTACTAGTTGAATCATCACTTTTAAAATTTAAGTGCCTCTAAATACAGAAGATCATGAAAATGAGAAAATAACTGACAGAATAATGGCAATACCTATTTTTGTTACTCAGAAAATAGGAAGAAAAATATACCAAAATTCCTTTTTTTTTTTTGCTTAATTTTTCAAAAGTCCAGTGTGAAGGGCTTGTTAGTACTAAGCAATCACCATTTATCTCTCTCAAAAAAATTTTTAAATAAACCATAATTGCTTTATTGGGTTAGACACTGTGTGATACAGTTTAACACAAGAACTTTAATACGTAGTATATATACTACATTTATTCATTTAATCCATCTTTACTGATAAGTCTAGATATCATAACTTTGAGGCTCAAATGTACTCTGAGTAATTATATAACTCACATTCCTAAAGAAGCTGGATGTATGCACTGTATGTCCAAATTGCTCTAAGTGCCCATTCAAAAGATACGGGGCAGGATAGTTAAACAGTAGTATAGTGCTTAACTATTGTGAAACATTGCCTTTTCCCTCACTGTTTAAATGCTAGTGGGAATTCTCAAACTTACAAATCTGACGTATTCTATTATTTATTCTAATAACTTTAAAGTTCCCTGAAAAGCAGATATTCTTCTATTCTCTCCTTTTATATATTAGCTTTTACAATTCTGACACTTATTGCAAAAAATCTATTCAGTGTTTTCACTGGAGCAAGTAAATGGTCTTAACATTTTTGGAGCGCTGTACCTTCAGAACTTCAACTGTTTTACTGTAAACTTGTACAAAATATTTACCAAAAAGTTTACCTGGATGATCTTTGAAGTGAAATTGGATTCTAAATGTGCTGCTCTCTCTGCTTCAATGCTTTCTTCCAGTTCCTTTGTTCTCACTGCAGCTGCCTAAAAGTACCATTTTGAGGATATTTAAGTCCAGAGAGATGATAACATGACAAAGTCTGCTCAATTCTGCTCATTCATACAGCAACCTGATACATTTGAACTGCTTGCACTTTGGCACTGTGAAAACCCATACCAAAAAATACATATATAAATAATTTTTACATATATAGAATATTAAATTAATATTTTCTATTTAGGTAAATAAATTCATGTAGCATTATGTTATTGCTGCATTTTTTATAATCAAGAAAACTGCAACCAGGGTCAGAAAGTGGAAAGATCAAGTTAAATATTCTACCTATTCCCTTACTATTTGCTCACCTCAGGCAACATAACCACACTCTGTGTAATGCATCAATCAAGCATTTAAAATTTCATAAATGAGATACGAAGCACAGAGAAGATTCTTCAAAAATATGTTGGCTCTGGCACCTGATTTCCAATTAAGGTGCCCAGAACAGAGTGCTTTGCAGCTCTAGACTAGTCACAGTTTCCCTACAACAAAAATTTCTGAACTCTGTAATTTTTTAAAGCACTAAGTTATTGATTTTGGAAAAGTAAAACAAATTAGTAAGTATGTGAGACTTCATGTTGAACATTTAAAAGAAGAGAAACATTAGCAGATCTTAAAATAAAAGCTCCTGGCAATAAATTAAATTTTGTATAATCACATACACAAAAAAAGGAAATACTTTTGAAACTGATATCCATGGAAGACCTATTAAAGAGAAGATCAGCAACAGCGTAAGAGTTTACCAAACCTACTGTGGAGTAAGGTCTGTCAAAAGGCTTAAACTTTGTCTCCTGCCATGAGTTTTATCTGCTTAACACAATAAAAAAATGCACAAATCCTGCACAAATACTCCCACTGTACTTTCATAATGCTAAGATTATTCTCATAAATAAGAATGTCACCCCAGTCTTCAAAAAGAGGAAGAAGGAGGGCCCAGGGAACTACCTGTCAGTCAGCCTCACCTCAATCCCTGGAATGATGATTGAGTGCTTCATTCTAGAGGCCGTGTCTGTCCACACGGAGGACAAGAAAGTGATCGGAGTAGTCAGCATGGATTTAGGAAAGGGAAATCATGCTTAAGCAACCTGAATGCCTTCTACAATGGTGCAACTGGCTGGACGGATGAGGGAAAAGCACTGAATGCCATTCACCTGGACTTCAGCAAGGCTTTTGACAGTCTCCCATGACATCATCATAATGCAAACTCTGGAAGAGTGGGCTGGATGAGTGGACAGTGAGGTTCACTAAGAATCATCAGAATGGCAGATCCCACAGGGTTTTGACCAGAGGCTCAAGGCCTGTAACCAACACTGTCCCTCATGGTTCAATGCTGGACCCATTACTGTTTAACTTCTCCATCAGTGACTTGGATAAAGGGGCAGATTCCTCCTCACCAAGTTCACTGATGACACAAAGCCCAGAGGGCTGTGGTGCCCTTCAGAAGGACCTCAACAGGTTGGAGAGACGGGTAGAGAACTGCCTGAAAATCAACAAGGGCAAGTGCAGGGTCCTGCACCTGGGATAGAATAACCCCAGGCACCAACACAGTCTGGGGGCTGACCTGCTGGGGAGCAGCTCTGCAGAGAAGGACCTGGGGGTCCTGGTGGACAACAATCTGTCCATGAGCCAGCAGTGTGCCCTGGTGGCCAAGAAGGCCAATGGGATCCTTAGGAAGAGCATTGCCAGCAGGTCACCAGAGGTGATCCTGCTCCTCTACTCAGCCCTGGTGAGGCCACATCTGCAGTGATGTGTCCAGTTCTGGGCTCCTCGGTACAAGAGATATGGAGCTCCTGGAGCAGGTCCAGCAGAGGGCCACAAAGATGATTAAGAGATTGAAGCATCTCTCTTATGAGGAAAGGCTGAGGGAGCTGGGCCTGTTCAGCCTTGAGAAGAAACAACTGAGAGAGGACCTCATCAATGTGTACAAGTATCTGAATGGAGGGCGTCAAGAGGATGGAGCCAGGCTCTTCTCAGCAGTGCTGAGCAACAGGACAAGAAGCAATGGGCAAAAACTGATGCACAGGAAGTTCCACCTGAACACAAGGAAGAAGTTCTTTCCTGTGAGGGTGACCATGCACTTGAACAGATTGCCCAGAGAGGTTGTGCAGTCTCCCTCACTGGAGATATTCAAGAACTGTCTGATCCCTTCCAACCTTACTCATTCTGTGACTCCTTCAAAATAACTTGCTTAAGACTCTCAATATTGTCTAGGCTCTATTCCTTCTAAACATCCTAATCTGCTTTGCCCCTAGTGAAGAATCAGCAAACTACCTCCTGCTTTAGTTTAGAAGGACTCCTTAGCATCCTCCAACAGATGAACATCTGCCAACAGGATGTTTTTACTCAAAAATAATGCCAGCCTATTAAAAGTGGTCAGTCAACAATAAATATATGTGGATTTCATTTCTTTTTTAAAACATTTAACAACTCCATCTAAAAGTAATTCTATTTTGCACTTGATGAGAAGATAAAGGAAACAGTTAGGAAGGTACCTATCACAACATTTAGAGTGGGAAATATAATTTTTAAAAAAATTAAATGAAGAAATGGAAACTTCACTGAAAATATTTCACTGCATACTCTAAAGAGCAAAAACATTTTTTTGTTTTTGTCTGGTTTGTTCAAGTGTCTGTTCTTAAAGCAAACACTGAAATTAAAAAAGGGATTCTACATGTAAAGTTTTCAGGAACAACATACTAATTCACAGGCTTTGTACTGAATTTGACTTCTAAATATTATTTTATTTCCTGAGCACCTCTCCAAAGTACAACTGTGCCTTCATCTCAGCCTCTCTTCAGCTGAAACCAGAGCTGGAAAACACCATCAAAATGGTTTACTATCCCCTCAAATGGAACCCCCTAGACTTGTCAGATTTTATCAGTCCAAAGATGAAAAATAAAAAAAGAAATAAGAAATAATAGCTTGAATGAGGGCATATGCAAGAATTAAAAACTGGAGTAATCAGATTCTCTCTAACAGAATGTGCTGGTTTAAAGGTAAACCATCAGGGGAAATGAACTCAACTCAAAAGAGAGATTATAAATCAGAATAACAATTTAATAAAATAATACAGTAAGTACGATTATACAGACAAACAATTGGTTTTAACCCACTAAACCCAAATATATAACCCAGCACCCTGGGGCATGAACAGAGTGGTGTTCTTTGGCCCCCCGAGTCCAAAGGAAAAGGAGAAGGGAAAACCTGTTGGTGAGAGTGCTGTTGCAGCCTGGTCAAGAGTGGTGGTTGCAGTCTGGTTGAAAAGCGGTGGTTGCAGTCCAGTCGAGAGTGGTGGTTGCAGTCTGGTTGAGAGCGGTGATCTGCAGTCTTCCTCTGGATCCCACGAGTGGTTAAAAAAGGTCCCAAGACTCCAAGATTATATATCCTCCAGTTCAGGCAGGAATGCTCAGTACTTCCCTCAGGGCGGGGGGGTTCCTCAATGGGCATGAGGATAAAAACACCCTTCTATCTCACAGGCCTCTTAGCACCTAGTTTTTAGCCTGATGAGTCAGGCTGCTCTGGGCAGAGGGTGCGAATAGTCTATTGACAACAGTTTCTGGGAAATGGCATGGAAGGCTATAGAATACACAGTTTTGGCTTACACCCATCCAGTGATGAACCGGGCCCAGCTGTTCTAACTAGGACACAGAACACATAAGGATCAGTTCTTGGTATAGCTTTTTAAAAGTAGCATCTATCTCTTTGAGCTGACATGATGGACACTGAATGCAAGAACAAGCAATGTGGTCCAAAGGAAACACAAACTCTCAAAAATACAAAAACCTCAGTCCTAAGAAAATCCTGAGACAATAAAGGAAGAGAAGCAGGATCAGGCAGACACCTGTAAGAAGTGCCAACATATCACTCCTTTGCTGACTGAAGTATGCAGATCTTTGGTTTGCTTGAGTTGTCACAAGTCACTGAAGAATTAACTTGTAGAATTAGCAGGTGTACAAAAAGAGAAGCAGTAGGAAAATTAATGTTTCAGCTACAGACATTCCTGATGATCCCTGGAATAGGAGAAACAGCTCCTATTTGCAAGCAGGACAGTGTGTCTAGCCTACCGTCAAAGAGTTATGACATTAGACACCAACCAAAGAAGAGCCAGATGCACCTGATAGGTGTCCATTGGAAAGTATTCAAATAGATTCAAGACAATATACACAGAAAAATTATATTAGAAACCAGAAATCAAACTATCTGTTTGACAGGTAAGTATCATTTTACAGATCACACTCCCATACAAAGGCATGAGAAAACTGACTTTTTCAAAACTGGAGTTTCTTCACAAAGTTAGGAATATCAATGCCCAATTCTTGATTTTAAAGTTCCTCTTCTTCTGGAAATTGATTCTTTAAAGCTTTGCCTCACTTTGTTACAATTTTGATTTTTAAAATCTTGTTTAAGTTAGTTCACTGGATCTTCAAAAAACAAAGACCCAGGGAAAGAAATAAAATGTCTTTTCGTTCAAGACAAGTCACTGTCAGGGCTCTGACAGAATCTGCCACTAGTTTCTTGTATTGTTAGAAGCCAAAGATGAAGAATAAACTGTATTCTTCCCAAAAGTCTCAGAAGATTACTCATGCAAACCTTAGTCTTATCTTACCAGTATATATACTATACCCCAAAGACTCACATGCTTAAAAGAACTTGCAGAAAAATTACATATGTGAATTGAGGAAGTCATGTAAATGCTGTGTCTGGTGAAGCAATGAATACTCTTTTTCACCTGCTCTATGATTTTTTGCTGAAGCTTATGGTTCACCATACATCTAGCAAATACAAAAACCAAATCAGATGTCAGCAAATCAGTGAGAAATTAGTCAGAAAACAAAAACTTCCTGAGAGATATTGAACTAGCTATTAGCACATAAGCATTTCTAAGCAATACAGAGTTATTAAATATAAAGAAATTCAGATTTGCTTAGATTGTTCTAAGGAAAAGATTCTTGGCATTTCTATCCATCAAAGTGCATATCAGCCATAG